GCATGATGGGAACTAGCTAAACATTTTACCCCCTTATAATGTCATTTTAATTTCCACCACCACAGCAGACTATAATCATGTGATCATGCATGAATGTGTTTGAGAACATCATTAGAAGTTAACAACTCATCAAGAAATGTGTCTCCCTTCTCACGGTAATTTTCTTATTTCCCTACAGCACACTGTCAAATAACTACTAACAACATTAATAAAAATTAGCAAAACATCAACAAGTTTGTCTCCCCTCGATTTTCACGTTAGTTTAAAGGTAAAGACCAGTATTGGAAATGCCCCAATTTCAAAAAATGAAATGGAAGCTCTTAATACCAATCATGTGAAAGAATATGTTTTGACTAATACATGATGATACAAAATTTGCCGGGAAACCGCCTACTAATTCATATATTTGGTAAATTTGTTTCTCTCATGGTCTGTGAGAGATATAGGGTAGTCCCATATACATATTTCTGTGTATAGTGCTTGTAACTTTACGAAGAATGGGCCAAATTTCTTATCATTTTGATGATTCCAGAACCTTGCAGATGCTAGATGCTAGATGATCAACCTTCTCTGATCGATTCCACAACGTTTCTTTCACAATGCAATCGCATGACCATAACTGGTCTTTACCTTTAACACTCCGCAGAGCATACTATTAGTATTACACATAACTGCTAAGAAAATCATTGGACATTGGACACAATAAGGTGGTATCATTTAAAGTTCCCGCTCCCCACAGATTAAACCATCACACGTAGCTGCCATAAACATCGACAAATTGGCCGACACTAGTTTTCTTCATGTTAATTTCCCTCTCCCCCGCAGCCCACCATGATCATCTATATACATCAACATGTAACTGCCAAAAACAACAAAACATCTAGAAATTCTCACGTTAATTTCTCACTCCCCCTTCCTACTCTCTCACACATTATCTGCCAAGAACATCAATGGAAATGGCGGATACAGATGGAGGCACTGGCCCCAGCAATATCAAACCTCCAGGCATACCCTCTATGTACACATTTGGTACCCCAAAAAAATAAATGTTTCCCTAAAAAATCACCCCTCCCCGCAGCAATTCTATTTTAGACTCCAAAGTGCAAGTGAATCAGTAGCAAAAAATTAGGAAAGCTCCTAATAATTTTCCGGACTGTTGCCCCCCCCCCCCCCAAACCACCACAGAATCCTGAATCTGCCACTAAAAATGTAAATGCGTCAAGAACGTTGCCTCTTGATAATTACCCACTCCCCCGCCGCAGCACACGACCACGCAAAACTGCCAAAAACATCACTGGATGATAAGAAAAACAAGGATGTTAGACGTTAATATTACAGATTGTGCAGACAATCATGTTACCAGTCATGACGTTAGCGATGAGCTGATCATTTACATAAACAATTTTAGCCCGATAAAGGTAAATACGTGCCATTCCCGTTTTTGTCAGGGTAAGAACGTTTTGGAGGAATAAAATGGCAGGACGTACACTGAATACCCGGCCGACATATTATGTTCGGAATTTTAACCCTTTTGGAAAGTTGAAAGGAAATTCTGGTACTTCGACACGTCTAATATATATAATTTAATAGATATTTATCTTTATACATATTGTTACATATTCGTAGGCAGTGTAATGTACAAAACCGTTGTGTATACCCGTTACAGGTAACAAAATCATGTTTGTAGCATGCTTTTGACGTAACTCCTTTGCACCTTACAAATCTCCTGCACCCTTAAAGACCGTCAATACTACTGGGCCAGAAGGGATTTGACCACACAGCGAGGTCACTGACAGGTGACTATCTCATTAACTCAGCTCTCAACTAACTTAAGAAAAAGTGGATCCTGGGGGATGAACAGGCACCGATTGGGGAAGTTTTCTATATAGAGGGAGCAAGTAGCTACAAGTAGGACAGTGGGGCTTTAATCGACCCTTCTGTTTGCTTCCCGATACTCTCCCAACCTTCAATCTAATGGTCTGCCCATACACACATGGCGGTGGTGATGATTCCTAACCTTCTGTCAAGGGTCTCTAAATTTAGAAGCTCAAATCGTTCCAAAGGTTCAACTAGTGAGAAATCATCTCCCTCGCAACCCTGGATTGTGGTAATGAACCCAGTGACAGATCCAGGATTCTCAGGGAGAGGAGGAGGGGGGGGGGGGGGGGAGGCACAATCCGAAAATTCTCTGACGAGGAAGAAAAGGGGGTTTTTGGGGTGTGCGGCAAATTTGGCTACAAAAAGTCTCGGACAAGCAACAACATAAAGTTTATCAGCCCCCCCCCCCCCTACACCTCCTTCTTTTTGAGCAGGGAAAGAGACACGTACCCCATGTACCCCCTGGACCCCCTGGACCCGCCAGTGATGAATCTAGGGGTGATGCTCTCAAAATCGATCTGAGTCTGACTCTTGAATCACACCCCCTTGAAGCTACCACATGACAAACAAGAGTCGTCAGTGTGAAATAAGTGAGGTCCTGAAGGTTAAATCTTACATTGTCATTGCAGCTCACAATGTCATTGAGTAAATGGGAAAATGTTCACAAGAAAAATAAGGAAAACCTGTCGCTTTACTAGAGCGCGATTCTTATGTTATGATAAAGAGTGTCAATGAACATCCCAATTCATGGGAAACTATTGGAAGTCTTGAAGGTTAACTCTAACAAAGTTATTGTATCTCTTAATCCGTTGTTGTTAATGAGTAGATGGGGAAAGAAAAACAAGAAGAACCAGTCGAGTTAATTTTATTTCATTGAAGGTTTATTTATAAGAATCAAGAGCGCAATAATGCTAAATTGCACATGATGTCGTAGAGATGTGGATATCTATTTCTAATTTTCTTAGTGCATGATTCTTATGATCAAATTGGCTGAATCGGAAACGTCATTGTGACGAAGTGCCTGATTACTTTCCCATTTATTTTAACACACGTAAATTATTAAAATGTCATTTTTCCTAAATGTGTGATTCAGAAGGTTCTTTTCTTTTTTAAGGACCTTTTATAATGTGCTATCAATATTATATTTTGAGTAGTGCCCCAAGGAAGAAGACACTTAAGAGAAAAAGAGAAATAAATTACATTTTTTACACCACAAACGAGAGATTTGTCCCATGACTACGTCACAATCCACTGACCAAATTGGCAATTTGCGATTTGCATGAATGTAGTGATCTTATACTTCAAACATGCATAACTCACTTACTATTTGAATTTGCCACTAGTTGTAACAGTTATGATGATTATAAACGATAATACTCGTCCGTTGCAAAGGAATTATAGATACCATTCTTTGTGTGTTAGTGCATGATAATTATGTTGATTAACAATTAATAGAATTTTAGTTCTTTGCCAGACAAGCTATACATCGTGTTTAAAACTTATCCGTTCGTCGCATGCTAGTTTGAGACCACGATGCAGAACGCATAACACTATTTCTACTGCAAGACCTTACGATGGTCATAAACTCGGAGGTCAAATTTGACGACATCTTTTGATCCCATAATTCATAACGTGTTTAACTTGAGTTGCAATTTACTTGACAATAATATTGGCCGATCCAGGGGCATGCGGGCTTTTGCCCCTATGATAAAAAATAATCTGGAATACCTTAAAGGGATCGTTTAATAATGTTAAATCTGAGATACACGGCCCTATGTGTTATCAGTGTCTGTGATATGGTGTAATATTGAAGCCCCCCCCCCCAAAAAAAAAGCGCTTCAAAATGATCAAGAAGTGCCTCAAAAAAGTAAAAATCTTTGAGTGACCGGTTTTACCATACTCGTTTTCCTCAATAGACTGTAGTGTTATGAAAACCGTTTGGCAAACGGTTTTCAAAATTTGTAATTCCAATCTTAAATATCTTGATAATCAGACAGGCTATCGGCTTGTAAAAGTCATTGGTGTTCCTGACTGACCTAAAGGTTTATAATTATCATTGCAGCATGAGCTAAATCCAGAACTTTGTTTCAGAATCTGAGACAAAGTAACCAGATCATTTTAAGAACAAATAAAGTACACAAATTATCCCCAATTATCACAAAAATCCTCCGAGAAGTTAATATCAATACCGTATTGCCTTTGAAGATCATGCATGATTATGAAATTGTCTTACGTTGATTTCTTGAGTGAAAAAAATGCGATCGATTTGTTTTCGGCTCATCGGAGATTTCTCGGAATTGCCCCCGCCCCCCCCCCCCCTCCAGGATCCGCCACTGGATATGGAGATTTAAAAATTTACTTGTTTTCACGAATAACACCAAAACAAGTGCATACTACACTTATACAAAGTTTAGATGTGGTAAATACAGATTATACCCTCAAATTGCCTCCTCACGCACACCGTGACTCAGAGCATTGTGATTTTTGCTGATATTCTAAAAGTGATGAACACCGTTGCTTGTAGAAAGATGATATTGACGATAATGATCACGTTATGAATTTAAAAGGCAACGTGATAATGTGGCTTTATGAGCGATTGATTTTTAATGGAAATTGACATAGTCGCTACTTAATCCTCAACGTCATTAATATGCAATGGCATCACTATCCCGTGGGGATAAAAGGTGGAGAGCCCAACACCATGTTTGATATTTTTTTGATTAAATAGTTTGAGGCATATAATTATAATCGTATCATTCATGTTGCATAAATAACATTAGAGAACCTTTCGTCAGAAAGCCCGGAAGACCAACATTACCGGTCTCATGGGCTGTAGTCGAAAGTTGTAAGTAAACATACATTTCATATTAGCATATAGTTTATAGTGTCGGGTAAATCGAGACATGTTCCACATATTACGTACATTTGGGTTTGGGTATGTTTTTTATTTCGTTAGGTTAAGGTGTAGTATTTGGCTTCGGGTTAAAGTTTGGGAAATAATTTGGTTGATGGAGGAAACCGGTCGCGGAGCAACTGCCGTCCGAGCATAATTATGTCGTACAGAGCCCAAAACAGCATGTATTTTGGCAATTAAAAGTCTCTTATTTCACTTGTTTTTACAGACAGTCGTCTGATGCTAATAGCGACGTCATCATCTGGTGGTGCTTGTGTTCTTCTCCTTCTCTTCACTCTCTTCATATTCCTCATCTATAAGGGCAGAGAAAGAAAGCAATCAAACAGGTCAGTAAATAAGTGCGTCTTACTAAAGCTTCGAGGGATAACTTTACAGGGCAACTGCATCTTCCGACCTTAATATAAATTGTGAAAGGAATTGAAATGTACGATCATATTTGAAAATTTAGATACGTTCATTCTTCTTACTTGGGGTGACGATTGCCAAATATTCTTATGAGTAGCACCGGGAGTAGCATTATTGAATTGCACGATGTTTGGAGCAATCACATGGTATTTCAGTCCTAGCAGTTATTGAGCGTCAAGTAACGCCTGGCTGGAATGCTCCCAAGGGAGTGGAGATTGTGCACACAGTGTATGCGGGCAAGCACTGAATCCAATGACCGGGGTAATAGTATATTTGAAAAAGCGCTTAGAGACATACAAGCGCTATATAAAAGCCGAATATTAGTATTAGTATTATATAACTAGGAGCAAGAATCTGAAAAATAGAATGCTATCACCGGCTTATTATTGAAACTGCACCATGCATGACCATAATCTCCATTAGGAGCAGACGAGGGTCAGTCATCTTTGCGGCTTCATCACTTTCGTCATTACACCCAAAACAGGATAATCACTTTAGGAGCAATCAGTAGTGGTACTTGATGTACGGTGAACCAGTGAAATATAGAAAAGTAGTAGAGACTGCATCTATGCTTCAGACGATAGCCTCGGAGACAGTGATACACAAAACAAAATAGGCTTCTAAGTTCTAGTAGCTTCTAATATTTCCCCTCTTTTTTCAAAATTTGGAAATTTGTAACATATCATTTAACAATAAAATATGATTTTAAATAAATTTTGAGCAGGTTTACAAAAGATATATTTGCAAGATGTGAACATCTTAATATGCAACACGGTATGTACCAATGCATTGCTCTTCATCACACTAATACTATTTCAAAGAGGAGATGCAGAGACGTGTTTCTCGTCATCCCATCCTTGGTCAAAATTAGCCAAGGATACTGGCTTGCCCCACTCAGAGAAGTGCTCTGTCACGTTGGCGTAGTGTGGCTCCGGCCGATGAGGGGTGCAGGCATCATGAGGAGGGGGGGGGGGTGCATAGTCCCGGTCTCACTCTGTAAATGAAATGCAAAGAAGAAGAAAAAACACCGAAAAAGGGTATACAGGAGGGGTCCTATCATCGCCTTTCTCGTCCTTTGACCCATCCCCCTTTTTGCTCCAATATTTGTTCTCAATATTTTGATTGAGGACAAGTTCCCCCCTTGCACATTTACCTACGCCTCTGCTCTGTCATGACCCACACACCATCTTCCCATTTCAGTCCCAGGCATCGACCTCTTTTATTTTGCGTTCTTCGACCGTTGTGTTCGTCTTCGTGTTTAATGGGATCTTGGGATGAGTCACTCGAGTGCAAAGGCAGCAAAGCGTGCAGTGAAAGGGAACATTGGGGAATAGAATTAAAGAGAGAGAGAAAGAGAGAGAAGAGGGAGAGAGAGAGAGAGAGAGAGAGAGAGAGAGAGAGAGAGAGGGGGGGGGGGGGGGGGGAGCGGAAATAAGAGGTTTGAAAAGTGAATGGTGAGCCTGGGCTGAGAAATGGAGAGACAGAGACAGAAATAAATTAATTCAAATTCACATTTATTCGGCAAAAGATAAAAACATCAAAATGAAATCATTACAAATGAAATCATTATAAATACCGGGATTGCTAAAATAAGTTAAAAACTTGTAAACAAGCAACCCCAAACATAAAAACATACAGATACTATAAAATACAATACGATGAAATATGATACAATACAATACAATACAATACAATACAATAATAATGTTACATGCTAACAAAATATATGAATCAATTATGTATTTCAATATATCAATAAGTGGAAAGTATTGTTCTTTTCAGTTTAAGTTTAAATGCGTTGTGGTTCTTAATACCCTTTAAATAACTTGACATGGAGTTCCATTTGTGAGGACCTTGATATCTAATTGATTTATTTTGCAAAAATGAGTTAGTGAATTTTGGTAGATGGAAGTCTTTTTTTCCTTGTATTAAAGGAGTTCAAATGAAAACTGTCATAAAACGTTACTGGTAGCAAATCATTTTGGAGTTTGTACATAAATAAAAATTGGAAAAAGAGACAGAGAAAGAGAAATAAAGAGAAGGTTTCGGAACTTGGAAGTAGTAATTATGAGCAAATGGAGGAAAATATAAAAAATAGCATAAGATATTTCGTATGTGATAAAAAGAAAAAAAATAGATGGGGAAAAAAAATCCAGATTTACTTATAGACACAAGCAGACAAACAAATTATCCATGATTGAGTAGATAGCATTCTCGGAAGAGCTCTAATTCTTTTTCTACACAGGGACCACGGGATGAAGATGGATGGAAGTTGGGAGACAGACAACATATTAAGATGGAAGAAGATGTAGAAGGGAGGGATGGGATCAATAGTGCATGATGCGAGCCACATTTTGTTGGTCAAGATTATGATAGGAGAGGTTCGGCGTGGAGAAAAAACGGAGCATGAGGAGATGCGAAATCAAGCGAGAGAGAAAATGTGAAAAGACCCTGAACGGGAGGAAGAAGTTGGTGGTGTAAGAAAGAGAGCAGTGGGAGATAGAGAAAGAGAAAAAGGGATACAGAGGGAGAGAGGAAATAGTATATCGTAAGGTGACATTTTGAACACACGTTTTAGGTAGAGAAAGAGAGAGAGAGAAAAGGAGGGGAGGTTGTGAGAATTTCCTGAGGTGGAATTTTTAAATCGTTTTCGTGACGGGGCGCACATGCAAATTTTAAAGAAAGAGAGAGAGAGAGAGAGAGAGAGAGAGAGAGAGAGAGGCCCCGAATGAAAGAGAGATGATAGTGATGTAGACAGAGAAGGAGAGAGGTGAAGAGAAGGGACAGAGAGAGAAAGAGAGCCATAAAACGTAAAAGCTGGAATACCTCCCAAGAGCACTGCTCTTCTGATGATTAGCATAAACAGTTTTCATTCTAAAAAACGCCAGGGCGAGGGACTTGGAGAGAGCCAGGATACGAGAACATACTACACGACACTGCCACTGATACACGCTCCACAGTGTAAGGAGGTATACTTGACATACTTAAAGACCACAACGAAATATCTATCTCTTCTGGTTTTAACCGCACAAACTCATCTTACAAACATAATATATTAAAACCATTATCCTCTTGAAAACATGTATATATTTCACCATACCCACTTCAAAGAGAAAGATTTTTCACTATACAATCATCTCTAAAAGATAGATTTTTCACTATACAATCATCTCTAAAAGATATATATTTCACAAAATGATCTGTCTTTTATTTTACTTCTCCTGTATAATATTATCAGTGTTTTGTCTCAGAGTCGGTGATCTGCAAATGAGAGTTAAAAGATAATCTTCAAATTCCTCTTGTTTTTCCTCCGTGATTGAGTTCCCTGTCTACTTTGAAATATTACACGTAGCTTCTCAAAAAGCAAAGATTATTTTCTTACCTGTGGATTTTCGCGCAGTAATAGGTCCTCCATTTCTCAGACCACATTCCTACTTTTAATTTGAAATTGCTGTACTGGTTCGAATGGACAGTAGTCATTAAACGTTCGCATTTCCCACAATTAAGGAAAGTGTAATTCATTTTCCACTCATTTGCGTCGCATATTTTGTACATGTTTTGCACGAACAGAATATGATCAACAAAGATTATCTGCATCTTTACCATATGGGGCAGATGGTAACCTAATTTCATTTTCACCTCTTTTCTCAATCACCACTCTACCTCTCTCTCTTCCTCTATCATTTCCTTCTCCTTACTGTCTCCCTCATTATGTCATTATCTCTTATTTTACCAATCATTCCCCTTCAAATCTTTTTCATATCGTTGCATTCCGTCTTATTTTCCCCTCTCAATATGCATTTTCACTCGTATATAAGAGAGAATTGCATCTGCGTTTTAAAGATAAAGTTTAGTACCGGACATGCGAGTCCATTGTAAAAGAAACTGTCTAGTATTTAGTACAGTATAGTAGTTGATGTGTACTGTGAGTGTCGGATTAATCCAAATGAAAAGAAACTGACCCGATCTCACGGAAAATTCTATGCACTGCACACAGAAACGTGTGTAGTGGACTACACGATTGTGGCCTGAATTTCCCGTCATATTTGGAATGTTTGGGCATTTGAAGAGCAATCCTTTTCAGGGTACATTTCATACTATCAAAAACAAAAACAAAAAAAACACCGGAGAAAGTTCACAAACTAGGCCCTGTCTTTCATCTTCAATACCAAACCTTCTCTTTAAAACCCATTCATCAGTCGAGGCAGGCTTGTGTGTGCCAATAGGTGTGGGTAACTGGCGTAAATCTGTAAAGTAGCCAGAATTCTGACATCCAACTGCCTCGGGGAATGCAAAATCCTACTCTGACGAGATAGCAAGGGACACTCTAATAAATTCAAATACAAGTTTAAAGAATTCATTCATCATCATGAAAAGTGGCTGAATCCCAATATCGAGCGTCCAAATCGAACTAAATATTACCAGCTGTAAATACGAATTATCTTGGTTCGGACATTTTCGGAAATAAAGTTAATCGCAGACAACTTGATTCAAACGGATCAAAATGCAGACAGGTTACAGATTGCTTGACTACAAATTTGGCCTATATGAATTCCCAATCACTGATAAGAAAGTGTATGGAGAACAAGTAATGACTCATGCGAAGTGCCCTCGATTATGGCCCCTTTTGAATATCTTGCGAGTGTCTCCCTTAAATTGTTATTTATTTAAAAATTGTGAACCGTAGCGTGAGTCACCGATATAATTAGTGGGCTTATTCGACGACGTGTAAAAACTAACACATTTTAATGAATAAGACCTTTTTCATTCTGTTTATTGGTGTGAGCAATCAGTATTTTCAAATCGGCCAAATTGGCAACGCTATCCACATTGCCTTTCATGGACTAAATAACGTTATTGGTGTATTCATGAAATGTAAAGAGAAGGACACGATGCACACAAATAGAAATAGATTGAAAGACAATGATGGAGATTTGCCAAAGTTGATAAAAAAGGAATTGTTGTGTATTAATATAGTAACTAAAAAACCGAGACGTACTTAAACAGGTGGAAACATGGAAAGGTGTTGTTATGGTTATGGAACTTACGGTTTATATTAATGATAGATAATATTTTCTTTGCCAATATTTTTGTCAATGTCATTAGTTTGAGAAAGAGACACTAAGACAAGCAAATCAGAATGTATTACATAAAGCATAACGCAATAATTTTTCCCTTTGCAGATTTTGAAATAAAGTCCTATTTAGGCAATAAATTCAGTAATGTAAACGGTCCAAGGTTGAAGAAGAAATATTATTTTGATTATATCGTGTTTTAACTGAAATAAATCAGGAAATATTAAAAGTTTTAAGTGAGAGTAGAATTACTTTTTGATAAACGTTACTTTATTTTTGAATGATCTTATTCTTTTAGCTGAATAACTTTATTTCTTGTTTTTAATCACAGGGATATCGACGTGATACCGGTAACAAACGAGGAAGGTTCGTTCCAAGGTACACCAATACCAGGAGACCTCAAGAGACAGCTCGCTGGTCCCGGAGGCAACAACAACCCCACGCTAACAGAATCACAAGACAAGGGCATCGACGGATCAGCAAACTTAAGTTCGACTAATGGAGTTACAACAAACACTGTAGTGACTTTAACGGATAAGACATTGAAAGGGGATCCCGTATGACCCCTGTTTATTATTTTGTAGAAGTTAAATTATTCTAGAGCTTAAATAAATGCAGCAGATTTGATATTGATATAACGGACCATATGCAATTATAAGCTAGAACGCTATTATGATGAGTTTTGTGGAAGAATCAATGTCATTGTCAAAGGCAAAATATCATGCCCTAAATCAAGCAAGATGAATTAAACGGAAGTAAGGCTTTGCTGACCTAAAAGCAAGACTTCGTTCATTTTGAAGCTGAAGTCTGTGAATGATATGGCTCTGTGGCAGTGACAGAAAGCCATTCTCTGAGATGCAGAAGGATGTTGAGGAGTCAGTGTGGTCAAGACAAGATCTCTTTGATAATCTTCACACTTGGATAATAGATGGATGGATCCAAATACCATCTTCACTCTTTTCTCAAATTTGCGGTTCGGGAACCTTTACAAATGCCAGAGCTTGTTGTTCAGAAATATGTCAATCAGGGTTTGTATGTCCAGAGGACTGTCTGTGAGTATGTTGGGAAGAGTCCAATTTTGAAGAGATCGTGGTAGACATGTTATTCCAACATTTTTTCCAACATCACGTGCTTCGCCGTTCACAATAGACCGATGCAGCATCACATCTCTCATGCAGTCCGTGGACATGTGGGAAATGACAGAAAATTGCAAAACATGATGAAATTGTATTTGCAAGGTATTGCCATGGAGACTGCGTGCTATATGTGTGAAATATCAAACGTGTATGTGACTGGAAGGTAAAAAGAACGCTACGTCTTCTTTCGTTGATTTGAATTAGTAATGGTTGCCAATTATAGCATTAAGGTCACGGGTTCTGGAAAATGGGAGCTTTCAAATCAGAACCGAGGGCAATTCTTTCATAAAACGTTACATTTCACCAGTCAGGAGCATGATGTGAGTCATAACATGAATAAAATACAGTGTCTGTGTTCATACGACTATGGGAAGAATTATTGTAGTGCTCTAAATTTGTTCCACTTTCTCCTTGCACGTTTATAACTGTGCGTGGAAGTAATCAATAATTAATGGTGTTCTGTAATAGATGTGGGGGGGGGGGGCAGACAGGTTTGTGAGCTTCTGTGGTAATTTTTGTTTTGACCTTGCATCGTGTGATAGAACTGAGAATATCGCCAGGTGCTGGTCAAAAATAAAAAGAGGATTGCGAGGGGTAGAGGAAGGGAAAGAGGTGGAGGGAGAAGGGGGAGGGAGGGAGAAGGGGGAGGGAGGGAGAAGGGGGAGGGAGGGAGAAGGGGGAGGGAGGAAGGGAAGGGAATTATGAAGATAGGGGATTTAGGGTAGTAGGGGAAAAAGGAGGGAGTGAGGAAGAAAGGAAAAAAAGGAGATTGAGAGACGGGAAGAAAAGGAAGGAGAGGGGGATAACAAATTATGAACGGATACACAGGGTGGACAGAAAAGAATTCAGAATATATATATAAATTAGATAGATCTAATATTAATTTATATAAAAAGAAGATAAGGTATATATGGAAATTTATCATCGTTAGAATAGTATGCTTTCAGTATTTTACTAAGGGAAGGAGACGGCATGTCAATACATGGAATTATCATAAAGAGCGTGCAATAAATAGGTCTACCATATCATGTGTGTAAATCCTTTCAGCGGTGCTATATTTGTTCTATCATTAATAATTTATTTCGGCCTCCCGATTCATCACACGTATGGCATTGTATTTAACAAAAGAGCAGCTGAAAATATAGAAATGTCAAATATGCAGCTACGGGCTACCCGTGCTAGATTCTAGAAATCCGACTAGACAGGGAGTGTTAGAATAATATAGCTCAGATATACATCTGTCTCTTCCTCTATTAGGAATACTTAATTGTTGCAACTCTTCTAACTACAATGACAGTACATTATAATGGACTACATTTTAGGAGCGTCATACCAGGAAAACATGGGTCGATTTTGCCTGTTTTTGCCTCACAAAGTAAAACAGAGAATTTGTATGTTACTCGACAGCACTTTTGGAAGTATTTGGAAAGAGAAAAAATAATCAGCCATGCACCCAGATGTTGGGTCCACCCGTCCCCTGAACAAAATTCTCTTTTGCCGCCCCTGTCTATTGAAGGCCTTGTAAGGCAATATCAAAATGAGAAAAATAATGATGCATGATCATGGACAACTGCCTCTTTAAAAGTAATTAACTTGAAATTCTGTATGGAAAGGTTTGACAATTTAGGAAATCATTGTGCTGCAAATTATATTGACATACTTTTGCAATTATCAATATAATATATAAAACTATGCATATCTTTAATGGTGAACGAATCTTTTCTTTTTCGAGAGAACGGGTCTTCTCGTTTTTTCGCACAGGAAGTGATGTGGGCTGTGATCACCGATAAATTGAACATTTTGAGGTGTCACCTCTGTTCTTTTTCTTCATCTTTCTACCCCCTTATCTATCTGTCTCTCTCTCTCTCCCCCCCCCCCCCCTCTCTCTCTCTCTCTCTCTCTCTCCCCTCTCTCCCCTACGTGTATCTATCCATCACATCATTTACATCTGTCACGATTGTCAGTCTTCATTTCCCACAGGATCTCAGCTCATCATTGTTTTGTGACATGCCCTGTGATGACTTTCATTTCATGTTCAGATAAATTTTCCAATGAAATACGGCTGTTCATACTCCGATCATCATAATGCAGTCTCCAAGCATACCTATAGTCACACAAAACTTACCTACATGTATTTGATGATATTTTGATGATCATAAAGCCTGGGTACTGTGATGTATATTTTGCTTTCAAATAAGTATTCATACATGTCAGTAAATGATCATTAAAAAAGAATGGCAAAAAATTACATTGTGATTTAGGCTTTGTGTGATCATTTTTGTGGAGAAAAAATAGTCGAGAGCCTGAAAATCAAAAGTGTGTGAGAGAGAGAGAGAGAGAGAGAGAGAGAGACAGAGAGAGACAGAGGGGGAGAGAGAGAGAGAGAGAGAGAGAGAGAGAGAGGGGGGAGGAAGAAAACAAAAGGAAAAAGAAAGAAGACAAAAAGAGAAAGAGGAAAGTGATCAAGGTAGATAAGAGCAAGATAGGAGTGCAATTTATGAACCATTACTTTCCTTCCTATTCTTTTCTTCTATGCAATAGCTTGCTTTTGTGTTTATGATTTTGCCATTATGTACATGACATACATCTTGTTTTATCACAATGACATTTATATGTTTTCCTTTGTAGATGGTCTCAAAGATAAGTTTTATCTCATTTCCTTGTATTGTTTATAATGGTTGAATAACCTAAAGTGAATGAGGAAAAGTTCATAAATGTATTCAAATTTCATGTAAGGATCTTTAACAATGTTGGCCAGAAAAATCACTAACATAATATCAAACACTAAGGAACTTATATTCTGACTATCATTAAAATCTTGTGTCACACGAATGCCAATATTCATCATCAGGCCCTATTCACAAGTTTGAATACATTTTTGAACAAGTATCTTGTTATGCACTACAGATACAGAGTGTACAAATAAATGATTGCCGCAGCCATTGTTTTCAAAATCAGCATACAAAAATATGTACATTTATTCATCATCAACAAATACATCCACAAGTCCTCAAGAATGTTGAGAACCCTAAATTCCTACCTGGGCAAGCCGAAGCTAGTTCATCCCGATTATTATCGACAATATGTGTACATGTGATCATTGCATTGCAGTTAATATCCCTACTAGAGCTCAGATCAGATCAATTATGTAGTGAACTGATAACACTTTTATAATGTAATACAATTCATTTCATTCACCTGTTACAAATAATTGTATTTCAATAGTCAGAATGTGAATTGCATACATTAATTGTTGCTGGCTGGATAAACGTTATACCTTGTCCTACCCAACAACACCAAATGTATTATTGCAATTCACATTCTAACCATTGAAAAACAACTATCGATAACCGGCCCGGTGAATGAAATAATTTATATTGAGGCACTTTACAAAGACTATGCAATACATTTGGTCAAATTACGATAATGGTTATTTATGTTCAGAACTCTACAACACTTGATAACATAAGGGACACCACATGATCAAATCTCTTGGACTTGCCTACCTACAAGCAACCATCACAGAAGAAGCACATAGGAATTTTCAAAAAATAATGACCTGATCTAAGAGGTTGTTTACTAGGCCTTGACTAATGAGGAATTTTAATTGGATGTGAAAGTATCTGCTCCTTAGATTCTGGCTGAGGTGAAGATCTGGGTCACTTCTTAATTACCCGACAGGCTATTAACCATTTAATGAGGTTATAAGGGGAAGAGTTTAAGAGGTACACTGTGCTTATGATGAAACTCAGCAGTGCTCTACTGCGACGATGATGGGATTCTTTGGAAGTAAACAAACAACTATCAATAAAGAAATTCATGAATGAGGGAATTCAGAATCTACCGACTTCAAAACTGATGTCTGGGAATTTGATAAGAGAATATAATACAGTAAAACCTGTCTTAATAGAGGCCGCCTGTCTATAGTGGTAACCTATACTGCTTCCCTCTAGAAGAAATATGTGTTGTAGGACCTGTAATAATTATGCTTGACATCTAGTTAGAAGCTCAAATGAAACTTTATTAGTTGAAACTCTTGATGCCAATTGTGGATACTGGCAGGTGCGGCTGGCTAAGGCGAGCTCAGATCTGTGCACCTTAAATACACCATTTGGAAGGTATACCGGTAAGTATATCAGAATGCATTTTGGTATTAACTCCCCTCCTGAAATCTTCAAAAGAACAATGTCACAGATGTTGGAAGACCTGGAAGGCATAGATGTTGTGATGGACAACATCCTGATATAGGGAAAGACAAGACAAGAACATGATGAAAGCTTAGAAGCTGTGTTCAAGAGGCTGCAAGAGAACATTTACCATGTTTCTATTAGAAGTCATTATCCAATAGCCGATAAGGGATTAATTTTGCCTAATAGAAACTGACCTCCGCTATTATCCAGAAAATGCCGGTAAAACCTGTGACGCATTCACAGGCAAATTTAGAAGGATAATTCAAGGGAATTTAAACGGATAAGGTAAGTAGAAACTCACACTTTTTCCGATAGAGTGCACATAACGAAGAGAAACTGGAAATCGGAGTGATCACGTGATCAGAATATTTGACCCAAACACTAAATTCCAGGTTGACCTGGCAACACCATGTATTTTGTCGACAGCCACTGAGCCAGCGTAGAAGAAATTAAAAGTGATGAAAATAAACAGACTTAACCACAAAATAAATCACAGAAAACGTACCTTTAATTTGGACCAACAAATTTAGTAAGGCACTGATCACTGTGTGGGGAGAAGAGGACATAAAGAGAATTCTGGAGGGGAAAACAAAGAGGAATCAAGTTGCCTACCAAGAAATAACTGAAGAACTCAACAATCAACATGGCGTCCCATGCATCAAGATGCAAGTCATCAGCAAGATAAAGTATCTGAAGACTCAGTTTACCAATGGGAAGAAGGCCAACAGTCCCACAATACTTTGCGGTGATCTTAGCCATAGTTCGATGAACTTTTATTCACGGCCTTTTAACCAGCTATATCGGAGCAGTGTATTTATCCGGATAAAGAAACTGCCCATTCCCTGGTATTATACGTTATTATCTGGAAAACAGTTTAACCTGATAATTCCAGTATAACTACCGGTAATAGAAACATGCTAAATTTAAGGTTGAATGAAAGCAAGTGCAAAATCACAGTAGATGAGGTAAAGTACATTAGTCACTTGCTGACTGCTGATGGCCTAAAACCTGACATGATGAATGCAGAAGCAGCTAACAAACAAGAAAGAACTGCAGAGGTATCTAGGAATTATCAATTATTTGGGCAAGTTATTTCTAAGTTGCCGGAAGTGACTGCATCTCTGAGGAAGCTCTTGGTGAAAGAGAATGACTGGCAGTGGAATCAAGAATAGACTGGATCTCATAAGCAATTGCAGAAACTGGTAACAGAAGCTCCCATACTGCAATACTGTTAGGGATCTGTCTGTGGTGCGGTTACACTCATTGAAAAAAGGCAAATTGTTGGCTGAAGCAACTCATTATGAGATTGTAGGTATCAAATGCTACATGCTGAAGTCTGAAGTTTGTTGAATTTCTGGTGTCAAAAAGAGTTTTGTTTTACAATGGTTCTCGAAGAAGTTCAACATGCAAAATATGTTCATCTTAACCACTTTGTGTGATAGTGTCATCTGTTTTAGTTAACAAAGGGCCTGGGAAGACGGTTAGAGATAACCAGCCGTAACAATGACCTGCATGTGGCCTATGCATCAAAGGCCTTCACTGAATGTGAGAGACAATATGCACAAATGGAAAAAGAACTGGCAGCTGTGGTGTATGGAGTTGAGAAATTCACCAGCACATGTTTATGAGAAAGTTTGTGGTAGAGTCAGATCACAAACCACTGGAGTCGATCATGATAAAGCCTCTTGCGGATAATCCACCACGTCTACAGAGAATGCTGCTGAAACTCCAGAAGTATGACTGTACTTTGCAGTACAAGAAAGGCACTGAGATGTATGTTGCTGATGCTCTGAGCAGAGACTTCATCCCAGAGAGTGAAGAAGATGAGGAGAGCCAAAATATAGCAGTGTACATGATAAACTACCTTCCAATGTCTACAGCTAAGCTAGATGTCAAGCATGATTATTACAGGACCCACCTACAATGGCTAGTTTTCCCATTTATCTTAGGAGGCCTTTAATTGACTGTACAATAAGGTAAATACATCTCAAAATCTTAGAATGGAATTTGTTGCAAAATGGGAATACAAAATCATAGCAGTTCACTCACAAAGTAAGCCATGTACAGGTCAAGGAACATAATCCTCAACATGTTGGAGATATATCTTGGGTTCAGGATTCCAAAAGTCAAAATACAGTTACAACCCAATCTAAAGGGCAAGTAAATAACATTGCTATACGATCTAACAAATGAAATCATCAATTTTGAATGACTGTCTGTAAGAGGTTATTGTTAGAGGTCACATATAACATGAGAGGAGTTGTGGACATGTCACATTAGGGACTTTTAGATTTGCGTGGACTGATATGTGTGACGTCCATTCACGGCAGTGCATTAACAGGACGTCGATCGTAGCATTGACATGTTGTCTTCGTGCGAATCTAAAAGTCCCTATTATTGCTTGTAGAGGACACTTGCTGTTTTAGGAACATGAAATGCTTTCTCCATCAAGGGTCTGCCAAGTCACAGCTGGATGCTATATCCTTACATCAGAGATGCTTGGGAGAATCATATGTGTAAAACATGGATGATAATGTTGCTGATCCTTACTTTAAGCCCTGAAGTTAGGTTTCCAGGACAATTTTTCACCTAAAAATGTTCATATAATGTCTTCCATTATAGTTTTGGGTGATCCCTTCATGTCGTAAAGTGTCCATTTCCATCTGATCAATTCACATTAAAAAAATTGACCGTTGACACTCCTTCTCTACACTATGAAGTTACGTACTGCACTGATATGCTACTGGAGTATCTTTCATATTCTTCACTGGAGAAGTTGGGATGTTTTCATTTCCATTTGGTCAATTTACATGGAGCATTCTGACTGTCATTGCTACTCTTTCTCTATGCTCTGACACAAGGTCTTGAGGAAGAAGTTCACTGACAGACATAGATGTAAAACTTCCAGTACTACTTTCCAATTCGGTCACTTGGTGTTTAATCAGATCACATGTGAAATCCTCCATAGCTGCTTAGATGTAATCAAGCAGTGTGTCTGTCCTTGGTGGCCGATGTTCTAATCAGAGTCTGAGTCGTAGGTAGCTTTCTCCTTTTCGCTCACCTCTGAATGTGCTGTTAAAGCTGATACAATGTCATTCTCTTCAGAGTTCTGTAACCTCTCTCCTGGAAGCAAATCGATAGCAAAGAAATAATATATATCAAGAAAATGTGCATACAACCAAACATTACAAAGCACTGCATTAATTCTTCACGGATTAGTGGTCAGTGAACAAGTGCTTTTTTCAAAATATGTTTTCTCCACCAAAAATATTTTAGAATCTAAACCAGTCAAGTACTCGGTTAAAACGTTAAATATAAATTCAAACATTTATTTATGCTTTATCAACTTCAACTTCTTTTTCCAATCATTCACTTGTTTTCCTGATTGACCATTTTCCTGTTTTATTTACTTGACAAAGACATCCTCCTACTTATATCCTGATTTCCTAAGTTCATGCAAATACCCAGTTTGTCAACAAATTTTGCTGAAAAAATTTTCTCATTGCATTTGTATTATTAATAACAATATCCAACTGAATTACGTTCATGGCCTTCCACTATAATCCCTTTCTGTCAGAAGCAAGTCATCAATGCAGTGAAGAGATTAGGAGGCTTATAAGAGAGTCAGATACAGCCTTTGGGGATCTAAAAAAGAACTGTACTTCCTTCTCCTGTCAAAGCTTTGCTGAATTAATAATTTCCTGCCTTTTCAATGCAATAAATCCAACATTATATCACCAGCTTTCCTGTTTACTCTACCCTAGGCTGTAGTCAAGCACATCAAGGTTTACTTGCCCTTCAATGAGGCTCTCTCAAGTGCATTTCTTACAAGATTAAAAAGTATTGTTTCAAAGATCATTATCTCTTCTGCTATTGCCTATCAATATCATAGCAAGAAATTGAACATGTGCATGTATCTTACATTCATGGGCGAAATCAGGATCTCTTATAGAATGGAAAAATAGCAACTTGCCTAAAATTTGAATGCCCAAAGTCTCTAATAGCATCAACAACATAATGTTTTTTTTTTAAATAGACTGGCATACAACAGATATCCATATTATATTTCTAGAAATTTTAAATTTAAAGCTTAAAAATATCTTTGGCTACATCAATGTAACACATTTAGGTCCTAAATTGTTACCAGTGAAAGATTAACTTCCCTACTTTTCTTGGTCATTTTTTTTTTTTTTACTAAACTAATGACAAATTTGTCAAAATTTCCTGTTTATGATATTCTGATGGGCACATAAAACAAGGGAAATGCTCTCGGCGGTCTCGCCTGCATTACGCAATTCATAATGATGAAAAACTGAGGTTGGAAAATTATTTATAGGCAGGGTGGCCCATTAGCAGGCCCAAAAAAATTAAATCCTCTGAATATAATCAGCATTTTGAAGTGAATATTGACTAAGAATAATCAGAAGAATTATTGACTATTATTTGTACCAAGATCAATAACTTGAATGAAATATATACACAAATAACAAAAATTGATTCATTAACTCTCATATTAAGTTGTAAAAACATAATCCAAGTCTACTGACCTAAAATGATCTTTGAACTTGTGACCTGGAAGTTGTGTCATATGATTTGTGATACTTGATAAACCTTGGGTACAAGTTTCATGTAATTTGAACAAACATTTTTGAAAATATACTCAAAATTCAAAATCTTGATTTTAATGCCACATCAAAGTCTAAGTTTGTTGACCTAAAATGACCTTTGACCTTAATCTAGTGACCTAAAATTCTACTCACATGATTGGGGATACTTGATTACCATATAGTCAAAGTTTCATCCACTAAAAACTTATATTTTCAAAATAATATCAAAAATTCAAAAACTTAACCTTAGGTTAAGTTTTCGATGATGCCACGTCATAGTCCAAGTCTGTTGACCTGAAATGACCTTTGACCTTGACTTTGTGACCTGAAATTCTACTCACATGATTGGGGATATTTGATAACTATATAGTCCAAGTTTCATTGACTAAGAATTTATACTTTCAAAATTATATCGAAAATTCAAAAACTTAACCTTAGGTCAAGTTTTTGATGTTGACGCCGTCGCCGCCGTCACCGGAAAAGCGGCGCCTATGTCTCGCTTTTTTGCTACGCAGGCAAGACAAAAACGTTTGTTTTAATCCAGGTTTTGATACATAAAAAAGCTGCACAAATATTTGCATTTATTCAAGAGAAACAAATAAACAATATGTCACAACTTACTTATCAGTTCTGCGATAGCTCGTTGTGTTCTCCTTTCCAACTTTTCAAGTTTCTTTGCCACATCTCTCTTCAGATCCCTGCAAAAGTGAGGAAAAAATGTCCACATTGTAACACACTGATGGAGAGCAGGCTTGATAGGTATATAGGAAACTGGTGTATACATGGAGAATTTCATTCTTATGATGGATGCCAATGTAGTAAATATCAATAAAACAAAGATTGACCTCTTGAAGATCCACTTATGACAATTGTTCATTTTATAACACTGAAAGAGGTAAAGAGACGCTTCAAAGCTTTACACTGGTTCCAAACCAACAATTATTTTTCGCAGGGGGTCTGGTTGAATTTTTTATTAAAGATTCTGAGACCATGTTTAGATTTCAAATTTTGGAGTTGCAGGATTCAAAAATTGGATGCACCTGTACATCCAGTTCCTAAAAGAATTGTATCCTGCTTTAAGTGATTTTTCAAAATCTTACCAGTCAGGTTTCCTTGGTGCAAGATTTGTGATGTCAACTTCTTCTACGACTGGTTCAGCCACTGCAGCCTTCAGTTGATCCTGTACCTGCTCCTCAACTGATAATGGATTCCAGAAAATGGATTTGAAGTGAGTCACATTCACATCTCAAAATGGGTAAACTGATATGTTCATGAGTAATCTAAGTAATAATCATAAAATACTTTTGTGAAATTGGTCTATTGAGATATTTTTGATACTGTTTAATACCCCCTCCCCCCCCCCAAGAAAAGAAGGGTGGAAGGGGGATTTTTCTCAATAGTCATTTTTACAAAAAATACAGTGAGAAGTCCCACCAGGGTTCTCCAATTAAAATGGGCACAAGTCAGAAAATCTCTGACAAGCAAAATAGCAACAACAACAATTTCAAGTCCTTCTTAAACCTGAAATACTTCATGTTGCTTTCACTGGTTCCCTAATAGGAGAGCTGCCAAACTTTTTGTCAGTAAATAATGCTGGTTTTCCACCTTGTTTTTTCCACAGTGTATTTCTTCCTAATCACAGTCTGAGTTCTGTATCCAACTTAATATAAAAATCAAGTTTTAAATCATTGTTACCTTTAGGAACCTCTGTTTGGGGGACTAAATGCTGCTGCAAGCTTTCATCTTCAGGTTTGTAATTCTTGAAGGCAGGTTTCCTAAAAGAGAAATATAATAATAATAATAATGTTAGGATACCAAGTATACAAGCTTGAAGCAAAAAGGCAAACTAGAGATATCTAAACAAGATCTATACAGAATTAAAATCATACATGTAGTTTGAACTTCGTGTATAGCAATCACTGTGAATGTTCGTTTTTAGGTTTATATCTATAATTTTGTGAAATTTCAGGACAAACTTTAGCAACATGTCATATTATGCTGATACACCCAAGACACTTTTGTAATTATTGGGCACTTGAAATACAATTGGGCTTATCAAACATTGTAAAGCTCTTTGAACAGTTGACAGTAGAAAAGAGCGCTGTATAAATAAGTTATAATCATAATTATTAATATCATTTAATTATTGTTACCATTATCGAAAAGGTACAGAGTAATTACCTAATGTTAACAACCCTCTCAATACCATATGGTCGATTGATACAATCCAATGAATTACTTTTAGTCAGGGTTCTTCCAATATTTATGTTATCCCTCATAGAAACAATTGTTAAGTATTTTTTTTGATATTTCTGTATGGCCATTCAGTCGCAGGCCTGTTGGCAGCCATTTCAGGACCTGGTTTACATTAATAATGAATCCACTTCCAGTCTAAATGCAAACTCAACCTCCATCTCAAAGCAGATCAAGAAGTCCACATCAAGTGCCGATCAAAGTAATGCCTATAACAGCTCATATTAGTTTTGGGGTTTGCATTAAGTTCAGACCCAGTTCAGATTGCGTGTTGATGCAGTCTGGACCCAATCCTCTTCTACTCACTTGATTTCATCTTCACCAGAATCATCTGCTTTTCTCTTGAGACTATCTTCATCATCTTCATTCTAAAAGACAAATGTGTAAAACATGAGTATTTAAACAAACGAAAAAATTCTTAAAAGAAAAGAAAAAAATCATAACCATGTTGTCATGATCATAAGATTGCAAGTTAAGGTCAATGCATGACTTATTAATCTTTTCATGATATTGAACTTACATCTTTACTTGACTTGATAACATGAAATTTAATGAATTAGCGTAAAGAGCAGCATACACTATCTTGCACGTTCTATAATATTGCTTTGAGGACATCCTACTACAAGTACAAAATATATTATCAATGCTAAATAAATCATCCCCATTGCCAGTAGGGGCGCTGGTCCGAGAATAAGAAACGTCCGCGGATGATTTTTATTTCCGATCCGCTTGTTGGCGATGCGAAAAACAGTTTCTGCGATGATGCGCCTTGATGCATGTCACGTTGACTTTGTACAGAGACTTTCACGTTATGAGCGATAAAGACGGACAACCCATAAAAGTAAAGGGTGCACTTGGGATATTTTATTAGGCGGAATCCATTTTTCGCATTGCCTGCGCCAGCCAAAAAAATACACGGAGAGTCGGTGGGCGGATTCGCCCCGGAAACACCATAAACAGCCCCCGAAATAGGCTCAAAATCCGATTTCGGGGGCGACATCAAAAAGTGAAATGATCTCAAATCGCCCCCGTAACGATTACGAGCGGCCGCGCGGTCTCCTCTAGCTTCGTATTCATTGTGTGCATTTCTTGGTCCGCGCGCTGAATCTCCGTGTAAAATTGTATACACATAAATCGGTTGTAAAAAAACTCGAACCATATTCCATACCTTACCTGGCTTACCATGTCGCACGCAAGTACGCCAAAACACGTACATTTTCGCAGTTGCGAGATCGAGGCAGAGCGTAGGGGTCGAGTTTTTGGTGGTCGATTTTGTTTTGGTAGATCATATTAGCTGAACCTAGGCCTAAAAATCGCGAAACTGCAATCAATTTCCATCACAAATTATCGATTGCCACAATTTTATAAAGTTTCCATAAATAGAGGTATGAAATTAAAGCCTATTTTGTGATTATTCTCGCCATGTTAAACGTAATTTTGATAATAATTTCTTCAAAGTAAAGAAAATCAGACAAAATCACCGTGACTGACACGCATACAATACAGTGCAGTAACGCTGCGCTGCAGTTAACTCCAGGAAGCTCCAACACCGGCACCGCAGGCGTCCAACGCCTGTGGCGCCGGTGTTGGAGCTTCCTGGAGTTACGCTGCAGTTACGCTGCAGAGTGTGTGAGTTGAGCTGAGCTGAGCTAGCTGAGCTCGAGTCGAAGAAATTTGACACTTTGAAATTGTTATCTGTTGGTTAGCATCATTATTGCCACGATTTCAATATAGTTTCGTGAATAGATGTACGATACCTGAGCTTAGAATTAGTAAAAGTATTACCAATGTCTACGTTTTTAAACGACTGTCTGATTTTCTTGTGAAAATTTTACTTTGAAAAAAGATTATCGAAATTCATGGCCAGAAATAATCACAATCTAGGGTCTAGATCTATTATGTTACAGTTCTTGCATCAAATCAATGCATGAAAACTTAGTTATTGAACTAGAAAAAGGGGTTTCTTTTTTAATAGGCAATTATGAAGCAGGAAGCCCGAAACCTTAGCCTACTAAACAAATCTCAACAAACTGTAGGCCTATCCTTTTAAGAATTAATGAAAAAGTAGCCCCAGAAAAAAGAGCCCCCAAAAGTTTGAAATGGAGCCCTCGAAATGAAAAACTTAATTTTTTGCCTGGCCTGCGCGCGGATCAGGAACCCTACATTCGCAGAGTGCTGAAAAAAAAAAAGTCTGCTTGTTATTGACACTTAAATCACAGGTTTAACTAGCAGTCCCACAAATGGCACAATAATAGTAGGCCTAGGCCTAGATCTAGTCTAGATCTTCTACTTTGCGGTGACCTTAACCAAAGTTCTATGAATTTTATTCACAAATCACAGCCTTTTACATTAGGTCTAGAGTCTAGAATCTAGTTTTAATTTCCCACTAAATTCGGAGCAGTGTATTTATCCGTATAATCCGCATAGATAAAAACTGCCCTTCCCTGGCATTATACGCTATTTTCTGGAAAACATATTTACTAGACTAGATCTAGTTCTATAACTATTAGAAACACGCTGTAAAATCTATATCTGTAGACTGTAATGACTGTATGAGTGGTCAGGTAACCCAGCAAATTAGACGGCTTGTGGGACTAGTAAATTATGTGACCGTTATTTATAAGAATGGCTTTTTACCTGAGCTGTTTTTTTACGAAGATTTTTCAGACGTTCTTTTCGCTTCAAAGCTTGTTCTTGAAGTGTTCCTACGTCAGCCATCCCAATTTTACAGAAATATCGTTTGTTTTTCGTATAAATTAGGCTTGTAATGAAGTCAGGATCGCTCTCGATCGCCAGCAGCAGCAGCAAGTATATTTGGATTATTCATGTCAATCGATAGAGGGCAGTATATGAGATTCGATCATACCATAGAGATATATATCTCTATGGATCATACACAGTATGTCCTCCGTAGGAGGACTAGAGGGCCAACTAAAATCGTGACCTTTGACATTTCATAGGTTTTGCATTGGATGCATTATGGGGGTTTTGTCCGATTTGAACGACGGTTTTGGAGGGTCAATGAATATTCATGAGCAATGACGTAAAAAATACGCCAACTACTGTTTGTTGATTGGCCATCGACAAAATGTTTTATGTATTAGGTCATGCATAAAACATTTTTTGCATTCCCAGAATTCCCTACGATTTGAGCACGAAAATGGCGGTTGTATGAACTGCAACTTTCAATTACGAACAATGAAACATTTTTCTTTTAAGTGAATTTCTGTTATAATAGAAGTTTGTCAAGTACATCTCAGTGAAGCAGAAAATCTTCAGGCGAACATTGGCATCGAAGTGATACCCTATGATATCAAGAAAAGTAAGTAAAGATCCATTTTGTGTGAAGGTCTCTGAAATGATTGTGATGTGTTCGTCATTGCAGTGAGCGGCTCTCCGCATTGTCACAACGTATTACCCGGTTAACCCCCTACCCCATCCTCTTTTCTTTCTTCTGACCAAAGAATATTAATTGATTGAATGAACTCTACTTTAAGTCATCGACGGTAGTATTTTCAGAAACAATCAGGATTTTACCGTAGTTTATTTCATTAGAGCACATCTCATAATTTTAAGTTCAGTTCATAGCTTGAAGTTGATTTCCGATAGTAATCGGTCGTAGATGTGGACCTGTTGGAGACTGCGCAAATGGCTCATTGCTAGTCCAAGCCGATGAGATCTCGTCGAGCGGTTTATGATCTTCAATCCGCCGGTTCTAGCCGGCTGTAACACTCCACCAAGAAGCGACTGCGTTTCCTGAGCTGGCGCGGCTATAACTTACAGTGTGTTAATACTGTAAAGCCTAGGGCTAGGCTAGTATTCATAGCATAGTCTGGCCTGAATTTTCTGTCTCTTTTGTTCGTTAGCCCTTGATTTGGGTAGGGTCGGCTCCTCTCTTCAGCCGACCCTACCCAAATCAGAGGCTAACGAACGAAAGAGACAGAAACATTCGGGCTAAGCAAAGCCTAAGCAGAGCCTAGGGCTAGGCCTAGATCTAGGTCTAGGCCTAGTCTAGATCTAGCACTTAAATATAAACAGCATTTAACCCCGCATCTAGTATAGGCCTAGATCTAGGGCTAGATTCTAGGCCTAATGCATTCTAATAAAGAAAGACTAAATAAATGCCTGGTGTAGGTGGATTAAATAAATGATGTGGAAGTTATGGATAGTGGGGGGGGGGGGGTGCACAATCATTCTGTGCCCCCCTTTTCAGATGTGGCATATGTCTAGGGACGGGTCTAGATCTAGGTCTAGAGCCACCTACTAATAATACTAAAAATAGGCAATTAGATCTAGATCTATAGCTTGTGTTATGACATAGCAAAGAATTCCATAGCCATGGGTCTAGTCTCGTTTTTGCTCCACTAGACTAGACTATAGTCGTGCACATGTGTCATTATTGTGATCCAGGTCCAGATTCAGCTTAGTTTGAATGTACTGTAGATCTAGATCTACTACTAGGCTAGATCTACCATCAACAACAAAAACAAAAGAAAAAAGGTGTCTCCTCCCCCCCCCCCCTCTTTCCCTGATTTTGCTCTTACTCATGTCATTGTGCGTTGTTTGAAATAATTAGTTTATTTTCAGGATTTTATGCCACCCCTTTTAGTTTTATGTTGGTGAGAATTTTGGATCCAACCCTACATATGATAGGAATATTTCTTTCTTTATTAAAGGACATGAACAAAGTTATAAACTGATAACTAATGCATGCATTTGATATTAGCAGGAACCTTACTAAGTTTATGTTTTCTTTAAATTGTAGATCCTATGGAACAAAGAAGCAGATAATGATCACAGAAGTGCAACAAAGAGCACCAGGACCTGATCATCAAATGTTATTGTGTAGATCTAATCAAGAACAGGACACCTAAGTTGAACTCTGGCAAGGTATGTTTGTATGAAGTTCGAAAATATTCAGGCTGTATAATCTAAGCCCATGCGAACACCGCACTCGACTTGGACTATATACAAAGATTTGGGGAACTGTCATCTTGTGTTGCATTATATCTTGTAATTCTCTATTTATTCTCTAGCTTTTTATTTAGGTGACAAACTATGGTGTTGCTACAGTTTATTCTCTCAGCATATTAAAAGACGTACTCAAAGGCATTTTTTCCTAAATATTACATTATATCTAACAAACTTTTGTTCACAAAAGTCTAGCAAATAATAACTTAAAATAAATTGGAAATTACTTTTAAAATAATTGGAAATACATCTAAACCTTTACTCTTCTTTTCAAAAAAGGCCCTATCAGATAGACATAAGTTTATCATTTTTTAATAAAATTAAAATGCAAGACCTAAACAAAGTGGGAAGGTACTAGATCTATTTTTGAAAATCCAATGTAATGCAGCAGTTTTAATCTTATTTGATTTCTCCTCTCTTTTTGTTTTTATTATGCAGGTTGTCCCTTGCAGAAGGTTTGATACCCAGGCTTCTTTTGTACAAGTCCCTAGTCCACCCTCATCTTGAGAACTGTTCCTGTGTCTGGGATCCCTACAACATCTCAGATGTCCAGGACGCTACTTCACAATGGGGACCACAAGTGAACCAGCAGTTTGACTGAGATGATCAGCACCTTTAGTTGCCTACTATATCTACAACTACAAGGCACTCTGCAAGAAGACTGGGAATGGTGCAAAATTTTCCCACTGCACTACTTATAGCTACTTGCGCCCTCTATATAGCAAACAATGCCTAATGATAATCGGTGCCTGTTGGTCCCCCCTGATCCTCTTTTTCTTATATTAATTGAGAGCTGATTTGATGAGATAACCACCTGTAAGTGACATTGCAGGGTGGTCTAATCCCCCAGACCAAACTAGTACAGACGGGCTTTAACAAATCACGAGCAGGAAGTACCATGACATGACCCTCCAGTTGCACCAAGCCAGAAGCGACATAGACAAGTTTGTATTTGCCCAACACTCTGTCCCAAACTTAATGGAACTTCCAGCAAATATAGTGCATGCTGACAGTCCAGAGAACTGCCAGGGACTACTTCTGAGGCATCTACTCTCCTTATCCCACTTAGAAACAATCTATCTTCCTCACACCACTTGTAATCTTTAGTATTAATTCATCTTCGTGATAGGCTACAACGCCTTTTGAAGATTACCAGAAGAAGAAGAAGAAGAAGATATATCGAGGATCATGAAAGTAATCATTTGTTCTTTTAAATGCGTGTACATGAAACATAGTTTTTTTTTTTATTTAATCTTAAGTCAAGTTCTGAGAAATATATTAGGGATGCTGAACTGGATAGTAAATTGAAGGGGGGGGGGGGATAAAATGATGTAGTTCGATAGTAATACTGTAGTAATATAATTAATAACATTAATAATAATAACAATATTACAAATAGTAACAATAATGACAATGATCATGATAATAGCAGTAATAATAATGATAATACAGGTAGTAGTAAAAACAACAATAATGTCCAATGTAAGATAAAGTACTCATAAAACTCAGTATATACCTGTGCTTTACATAATAAAATAGCATGTTGATATTATTGTTTTTTTTTTCCTCAAAATCTACAGTAAACTTTTACAACTGAAAAATTTGAATTCAAGAGACAGCACCCCCCCCCCCTCCCCCATCCTTTTGTCATCCTTTTGTTGATGTCATGTTGGATTTAAAAAGATCTTTATAGAAACAAAATATGTTGATAAATGAGTTCATAGATGTTAATAAATTAGTTAATATTGCTTAATTCTGTTCTTTTCATTTTCTTATTTTGTGAAATATATGTGATGATGCTTGTGATTATGATGATGTAGGCACTCTGTAATGATAATGCTCTATGACTGAGGTGAGATGGGGGCTGATGCAGTCTTGTGTAGAATTGAGTATGGTGTTCGACCATTTGATGTTTGTTTATATCTGGCCTCAGCGAGATAGATTTAACCATCTTTCCTAATGAGAGAGAAAGCGGAAATGTAACAAGAGAGTGGACAAGACTAATGTATAAATATAATATAAAAAATGGTTTACAATAAAGATGAGGGGGGGGGGGTTAAATAAAGAATAAGTCAATGAAAATGATGAAAGCATAGGTAATTGGGGTGTGGATGGGGGAGGGAGGGTAATAGAGCCTATGGAAATGTCAATATTGGAAGGGGTCCCTGTATTGAAAATGTTACTGATGGGGGGGGGGGGGGGCAAATTTAAAAAATATCGGTGGCGACGAATGCAAGAATGAAAAGAACGAGACAAAATAGAAATTTCATTTGGGATGGGGCACAATATGAAGATCATTGAAGTCGAGGTGAGAATGATTCATTATTTGGACACTAAAAATATGAATATATCACTTGTTGAGTGGGCTAAAGGATCAGTGCAATTTTTCTGATTAAAAAAATATTTAAGTTAATAAACGAACAAAACAAAAAAGGTAAACAGTGAATTGAGGTACCACAGTGAAATGGGGTCATTATTTTTGCCTTTTAACTGAACTGAATTTAAAAAAATGTACTTTCCATCCTGGTGACAGTGAAGTTTGTGGCCCCAACTAAGTCAACCATTTAAAAGTTTATTACCCCCCCCCCCCCCCCAACACACACACCTCCCCAACTCTGACCTTTGTTCTACATGCATTATTCGGCCCAAGGTTTCTGTCGAGAGTAACGCATGCGCATTGTCTTTTTTTCATTACGATAATATGCTAATAAGTGGAAATGAGCTCATGAATATTCCAAATTTTAATTTACATATTTTACGCGCTGCGCGCAGTCCAAAATGCCCAATTCGCTGGTGCACTAAAAATTTGTCGTCTTCATAGGCTAATACACGATAAGTGGAAGCAGTGTGCACTTTTGACCCTCCAAAATTTCCCCATGGCTAGACGGATGCAGAAGCGGAGTTGAACCCCCCTGTATATTATTACAGTGCAAAGGAAGAAAGAGGGAAATGATGAATGAATGAAAGAAAGGGAAAAGGAAATGAAAGAATGAAAGAAAAAAGAAAATGAAAGAATGAAAGAAAAAAGAAAGTGAAAGAATAAAATAATGAAAGAATTAAGAGGGAGGAAAATGAAAAATTAATAATGATGAATTTTAAGTCCGTTCGGCCAGATGAAAAATGAATATTGCCCATACATACAAAAAAAAAAAAAAAAAAAAAAAAAAAAAATCGATTTTTAAAAATTTTCAGTGAGGTTGATCAGACACACTGTCAATAAAAGTCTCAATAGCGATAAGAAAGACAAATATGTCTAGTAATTTAAGATTTTTATCATAAACAGAAAACAGACGACACATGCTCACGGCTCACCTTCTTTCCAAGAACGATTCGGACCTGGAATTTACTCCCCCCCCCCCCCCCCCCCCCCCCCCCCCCAGCATCTTTGCCTGCGACTCAGTTGAAACCTTAAAAACCAGACTATGGGAAGCTTTCCAAAGGGGTAATATAATCATAGTCCCTCCCCACAACTGCAATGTGATGGGACTCAATTAAAAAATGTTCTAGACGCAACAAACTCTCGAACAATAACGTTCTTATTGGTCATCTATAGGCCTATATCTCTCTTAAGGATCAGGACCAGGAACAGAACAAAATCAGAATCAGATTCATGCACTTAGGATCATGCGTCATTCTCAACTGGAAACAAAAAGTTCTGCCTTCAATGATTTAGGCCCCATATCATGTAAAAGGCCAACATGATATTGTCGACATTTCTGGGCTTAGTGCCCCTTAATAATAGGAAAGTCATAAGTTGAATGCAAAACACTAAAACAAAATCATAAACGGTGTTCGCGCAGCTTCATTGACACCTTGCCCCATTTTCTCAATCTTCAATCGACAACATGACATACTTGCGCCCTCCTAAAAAAAGTTTCATATTCATAATGGATCCATGCTCGAGCATATTTTACTTAGAAAATCATAATGAAAAAAATGCGTCATCCATCCTGAGGATGATTCGGTGCCCAAATAAATGCCATCAGAAGTCAAAAGTGACATAAACTTTATTATCGACTGCTCGGATCTAAATCTTAGATTTGAGTACGGTATCATGGCACCTTTGAAAAGGGTGTCATAACTCAGTTTGTGCCGCTCGGTTCTGCCTGGTTTTTACATACGTGTATCGATAATTTACGTCTGGGGACCGACGCCGGACTCCGAGGTTTCGAACCGTAGATATTACCGCTAGACTAACTCACATCTCCCTGACCTACATATTATACATCATGTATTTAGTTGTGTTTGTTCATTCATATTTAGTAGAACACTGTAGATCAGTTGCTACTATGCAAATATATTGTATGGTGCACTTTTTCTTTGATAAGTTCATCTGCTACCTAACCTGTACTTTGTGTTGTGTTAAGTTTTTCTTTTGAATAAAAACACTAAAACAAATAAAATATATACGTGTATTTGCTTGAAGCCTTCACATAGCAGTGCCAAAAAATACTCTCTTTCAAAGTCTTGTAGCCTACAATATTGTTTCTAGTCGAAAATAGATGATTATAATGATGGTGATGATGATGATGCTGGTGATGACAATGATGATAATAAATAATAATAATGATGATTAAAATAATTTTAATGATAATAATAATTATGATTAAAGTAACAATCAATATTAATAAGAGATGAAGATAATTGAATAAAGACATTAATTTAAATGAATGGTGTACCGTGTATAATATACGAATATCAAGGAACCTGGGATATTAAAGCATATAGGGCCTAGATTTGATTTGAATGGAAACTGCACAACCCTTAATAATGATAATCTTTTCTAAAAACAAATGCTGCAGATCCTCGGTTTGTGCAGTGGTTGATCCAGGATTCTTTATAATTATAAAAAAAAAAAAGCGATAATGAGTATTTCAATTATTTATTTTACTCTAAAATCTATAGAAAAAAGGTTCATCATATCACATGCGTCTTTTTATGATTTTGTTTGTTTGTCGAGTAACAGAAACTAAAGTAATAACTTAATGTGCTGGATTGGACCCCGCCGCCCTCGCAACTCTGATAGACCCGAGATTCTGAGCCCATGCCCTCATAATATTAATGGTAACATCAGAAGGGTTGTATTCTGAACGTAAACAGAATATTATCATGGATAATGGCTTGGCGGTATGGAAAACATTTGACCAATCACAATAGCGCAAAGAGCTAGTATCTCATCCAATCAGTGGCACACTCAGGGGCCACGTGATTTAAAGTGCGCGAACTCGAAATGTCGTCTGCAACAGATCGCTACAGCTACATCCTCGGTCCATTGCGTGTTTGTGTGTGTCCTCCGAGAAATTTTGAACGGGGAGCCAAGTCGTAATCGGCCCGAGCTCTCCCGCGTAAAACTGACAAAGCAACTCGACTCACATAACATACACAGCGATAGCTTGAGTGACGATCCCGTGGCATGGAGCTGAGAAGCACGTCAAAATGAATAATTTTGAAAAGATTGAAAAGATTGGAGAAGGCACTTATGGAGTAGTTTACAAGGCAAGAGACTTGAAGTCTGGTAAAACTGTTGCACTGAAGAAAATACGATTGGATACGTAAGTTATTTGGTGTTTTTCCTTTAATTTCTTTGTTTCATTTTGTCTGGTGACATGACGTTGCTGTTGTTGATGTTTAATCACAACGTTGTTGTGTAGTCCCACTCGTACTCTACCGGCACTGTCTATATTCAGTATCTGAGATCAGACATGGACTTTGGTATTTAATATTGTCTTACACTTGCACTAGCCTCTACATGACCACAGTTTTTAAGAATTGAACTTGGAGTTGGAAGTTAGACTTATATGTTATGGATGTAGTAGACTAGTCTAGAGTCTAACTTAGATCTAGAAGTCTAACTATTAGAGCTTCTTTTTTATTTTAGAAAATTCAGGCTTTATTATTTCAAATCTTGTCTTCAATTCAAATTTAAAACAGAGTTGAGGTCTAGAATCTACTTAACGTTGTTCTTTGAATTAAAGTTAACTTCAACTAATACGGACTTTATCATTAATGGACATATTGAGTTATGACTTAGACCCTATCTTTGTTTGGTTGTTAATCAATTGAAAGTTTTTCACGATTTATAGATCTAGCCTGCAACAGTGACTTTGTCTTTATCTAATTTAGCCATTGAGTTTGAGTGATTGGCCAGTCAACTTGAGTGTTTACGATGCCAATCGGTTAGTATTTTCACGAGTATGAGTGACTAAGTCCTATGCTATAGTCTAGAAGTACAATGAGTATGACTATGAGAGTAGCTTGTAAAATTATTTTGTGGCCATTTGTAATGTTACTTGTTAGGCTATTTGCAATTGATTTCATTAACATTGCAACTCCTCCATTCAGTTCTTACATGTAGTTTCATTTGCATTTGAATATTCTACTCAAGACTATAGTCAACCTAGAGTAGATGATTTTTTTTTTCTCTAACGGAAAATGATGTTTATTTTCTTTTCGCCTCGAGACAAGGTGATATCATTTTTTTTTTGCTGTTCCTTTTATGAATGATAAATTATCAGATTTGTGAATGATGGGCTGTGCCTTTGAAGGTACTTCCTAGATGGAGACTACGGAACTCAAAAACTTAGCAAGAAAACAGGCCTGGACCCATGGTCTACTACATCGATCAGCATCACATGCATTAAGGGTTTTTATTTTATTTTTATTTTTTTTGTTAGGTTATACTCCCCTAATTTAGCATCAAGGTTACTGCAACAGTGCTTCAATGACACATCTGTCTGTATCATCATCATCATGATACTGATTACAAGAAAATCCACTCTCACTGTTTGGTTTTCATAGAAGCAGACAAATTATAGGAACAGACCAGTAAAAAGCTTGAGAAAAAATACAAATTAAAAGAGTTTGTATGCCTCCGCTACAAAGTAGCTGAGGCATTATGTTTTTGGGTTGTCCGTCCGTCTGTACGTCTCGTTCTAGAGATAGCGTTATTTCAAGAACCGATTGATGGATTCCCACCAAACTTGGGTCATGTATGTAATTTTGCAAAGCCAATGAACTGATTAGATTTTGGGGTCACGAGGCCAAATGTCACTAGGCTCATTATGTATGCAAAAATTGTTTGTGATGTGTTATCTCAAAAACTGATTGATAGATTACTGCCAAACTTGGGTCATGTATGTCTCTTGCAGAGCCAATGAACTGATTAGATTTTAGGGTCAAAAGTCAACGCTTATATTGTAAGGTCATGAGGTCAAAGATCAAAGGGTCATACATGTATATGAAAATTAGCTTGTAATCAGAATCATAGGTCATTTTAGGTCAGTACACTTGGATTATGTTTTCACAACTTTATATGAGAATTGATAAATCAATGTTTGATATTTGTTCATATTTCATGAAAGTTATCAATCTTGGTACAAATAATAATAAATAATTCTTCTGATGAATCTTAGTCAATAATCACTTCAAAATGCTGATTATATGCAGAGGGTTTCATTTTGGGGGGCTTGGTAATGAAAGATACGTCAAAGGGTTGCCAAATTATGTTTCATTGCTTTATACAACTTTTAAAGTCATAACTTTTTTAATTTAATTGGAAGAAAGAGGGTCTAACACTAGGTCGCTGTTTCCCACAACTGTCAAGTAACAAGTTGGCTGACATCCTATTGAGCTTAAATGTGTTGAAATTCATCCACAAGTTCAATGGGATGTACATGAATGTATTCATAACAGTTTCGTGAAACAATGCCCAGCAGTTCTAGACCAATGATTTTTTTTAATGTAGGCCTATATGTACAGATTTATTTCGAGAGAAGAAAAAGAAAATTCCCCTTCCTTTCTCATTGGACAATACTTTTTCTTTGTTTTATTGCAGAGAATCTGAAGGTGTCCCAAGTACTGCCATCAGAGAAATAGCACTGCTGAAAGAGCTGGACCACAAGAACATAGTCAAGTAATTATACTCGCTCTCTTGAGCTGAAATATAATCTGATTATTAGAGTGTAGAGTGATAGATTTTAGATAGTTTTAGATTGGAAAATGTTTGTTTTTCTATTTCATATAATTATGTGGTGAAGTTGAATGAATGATGTTTTTTTCTTCTTCTTTTTTCCTCAATTATTTGGCTAAAATGATGCAGTGTCTGCTTTTGTATTCCAAAAAGTGTAATATTGTACTTACTACTTCTTGTACTGCATGTTACCCTCTGAATGTCATGCTAGTTGTAACAACAAATCTCCCAAAAACTATTGCATGCATGAAATGTTCATGAATTTCACAAGTGACTTAAATTCACAAAAGTTTCATGCCTGAAAGTAATTGAATTACAATTGACACAGCGCTAATTATTGCGATTTGCAATAATTTATTTTTATGCGAAAAAAAGCCATCATTAACAATTTGTGAAACTTGTAGAAAGTTTATTTTTTAAGAGTATAGCATAGCCATAGTCCTCATTTTCGTTAGATAAATGTCTTATAACCTTTTTGTTTTTCATGACTGCATAGATTACATGATGTGGTACACAGTGACAAGAAGCTCTATCTTGTCTTTGAGTTCATGAACCAAGATCTCAAGAAATACATGGATGTTGCTCCTCCATCAGGCCTGCCACCAGGTTTAGTCAAGGTATGGCGTCTCATACATAAATCTCCTATGGGTGTGGTTCTGAATTATAAGTATTGTCTATGTAGAATTTTATAAATATCAGATGAAAAAAAAGTGTTAAGTGCGTAATTTATACTTGAAGGAAATACTTTTTTTCCTAATATTATATTTTCTTGTTTCTTGTGGAAACTATGCATTGATATTTTTGTCATGGCTATAATATATGACATATGTTTTAACATCATAGATGTAGCATTAGCACGCTTTTAGATTTGGGTTTAGACATAGGGCTCATGTATGCAGACTCCGTTCTCACTCACTTCGTTGGGCTCATGTATGCAGACCCCGTTCTCACTCACTTCGTTGGAGCGCTCTGGAGCGCTCTAACTAAGACCCGCTCCTCAGGAGCGGTTCTTAGGTGAGTGAGAACGCTCAAAGTGGTCCAGGAAGCGGACTTCTGGACCGCTCCAGAAGTCCAACTTCCGAGGTGGTCTTGAGGAGCGGGTCTTATTAAGAGCGCTCCAGAGCGCTCTAACGTGCAATGTGAACGGAAAGCGTACTTTGAACGGAATTGACGTTCCGCGCGATGAGCGATCGGGCAGGCACTACGCATATACATGTATACGGGACGCGTCGCGAACGGGACATCAGGTGACATAGGGTTTGGATTCCGCGCGCGAAAAAATTGACCCGCCTACCTGAGCTGCCATAGCAACAAGACCACTTTGACTCGTGGAGCGGTTTGAGCCATAAAAACTGCTCGGAGTGTGAACGCTCGCAAACCGTTCCTCAAGACCCGTTCCTCTGGAGCGGTCTGGAGCGGTCTAACTAAGACCACTTTCAAAGTGAGTGAGAACGGGGTCTTAGAACTTAAATCCGGACCCCCTTGCAAAATGAGTCAGTGTGGAGCCCTAGCTTTATTTAGTGTTGGGTCTTGTGTTTAAGTCAGAACTTTTGTTAGTATTTGAAAAAAAGACTATAGACCAGTTATCATTGGACTCTTAGCTTGTGCTATAGAATTCTTGTAATGTCTGTCCTTAAAACTAGGATGTGTAACGGAAACAGTCAAATACCTTTAAGATGTAGTGACCACTATAACTCTGTATGACCATTAAACTTAAAGTTTCCCTGAAAATCCTATTTCATGATATATTGATGTTTATGCCTATTTCCAGACTTGGTTAGGGGAAATCACTTCATTTTATATTTACAAGTATGAAATCACGGATGTTTTTGATTTCTTGCAGAGTTATCTACAGCAACTTCTTCAGGGTATTGCATTTTGCCATGCACATCGTGTCCTTCACAGAGACCTCAAACCTCAGAATCTACTCATTGATGCAGATGGCCGCATCAAACTTGCTGACTTTGGACTAGCAAGAGCGTTCGGTGTTCCTGTCAGAACATATACCCATGAGGTTGGCATGATTTAGTCTGTTGGAGCCAGAAGGGCGTTAACTATTGAATTATAACACAGAGTTAACGCCCTTCTGGCCCCGAACAGCTGATCTGAACATTTTGGTACTGTGGCTGGTTTTAACCTCCAAAACACTGGTATTATTGGACTTGGAAAAACCAATTTTCCTTCTTCAAATTCAAAAATGGGTTTATGAACTGTTAAGCTTGGTACATGAAACACTATTAAGTTTGATATTTATAAGCTTTGCGAAAGGAGCCATTATCATAAACTTGTCTAAAGAATTTATAATTTTTTATGACATATAACCATAACAGTTTACAAGTATGTTTATTCATCATTTTTCACCCATCTTGTTTAGCAGGAGAAAGCAAGCACGGGAATAGAGATGTTGACACTAATGAAATCTGTGCAGCTACGAAAAAAAATCATGTTGAGAGAAATAGAAATGTTGATTTCCCAGATACATTTTGTGTATCAAACAGAGCCAATATTTTGCATGCCTTTACAATTTTGCCGAATTACCTGAAGAGAACTTTAGGCTGATTTTGCCTTTCTGTTTTTACACATTTTGAAATCTCTAAATTTGAATATGTACAGGGATTTGCAACAGGCACCATTGATACTCTGACAAATTAGTTACTTGGGAAATGTGTATTTCGACTGTGTGCTATTGATTATTTTTCGTTTATTGCCTCATATTCAAGGTTGTCACATTGTGGTACAGAGCACCAGAGATCTTACTAGGCTGCAGGTATTATTCCACAGCAGTGGACATCTGGAGTCTTGGCTGTATTTTTGTGGAGATGGTAAGGACTAAATTTGCATTTACACGGTCTGTTGTGGACCCATTTTCCATTTCAAATATTTGGAAGGGATGGGTTTAAAGATAACAGTAATGATAGCAAACAGGAATCCGGTATGGAACGTGTTAAATTCAGTATTCTACTTTTATCAAAAGATACATAAGCATGATAATTTATGTTCTGTATATTATTTCCAGTGAATTTTAGTGTCGGCTTCTGAAAGGAATGTCAACTCTGCACTTTATTGGACCCTACACTAAGATCATTTTTGCCAACACAGAAACCTCACTGCAATAGTACACTCACAGCTATTTGTTGTTTTACATGTGTCTTCAATTGTATATAGGATCTAAAGCTAATCTCGAGTTCTGGCAATGGAACTGCATTTTGAGTTAGAGTAACCAGCTAATATTAGGTCCAAATTGTTTATCTTGCTGTAGATATGGGTTTGATTAGAAAAAAGGTTAATATAGTGGTGGAAAATTACATTTGCTGAAACCAAGTGTTTTAGTTTTAGAAACAAGCTCTGAACTACCAGTTGTACTCTTTGACCTTTTTCCCTTCTTTTTACTTTAACTGTTTCCCGGTGCTGTAACTCCCTCATGCTCTATTAAACATTATTATTATTATGATATCAATTTCTCTTCTTCATTTCCTAAAGATAACGAGAAGAGCGCTGTTCCCTGGGGATTCTGAAATCGACCAGCTCTTCAGGATATTCCGGACCATGGGTACTCCAGATGAAAAGCTGTGGCCTGGGGTCACCTCTCTACCCGACTACAAGACAAGCTTCCCAAGATGGACACCTCAAGACTTCACCAAGATAGTCCCCATGCTCAATAAAGATGGCAAAGACTTACTCAAGGTATTTATTCATATATCTGTTACAAGCAGCCTCTTGCATAAAAAGTTGCATTCAAATACAAACACTGCACAAGTTGTCTTTGTTGGGACTACAAAACATTTTGATTTAGGAAGTGTAATAACACATATTTTACATAGTTTAGTCAAAAAAATTGATTTGACTTGGGACAGTTTAACTTGTGCAACTTTAAGTTATGCAAAGTTAACTGTACATGCAACTCTAAAAATCAAACACATGTCCTACTTATGTAACCCTGATTGGTTAAAAATCAAGTTGCATTTCATTTCCAATGCAACTTTCTATGCCGAGGTCTCTGTCGTGCTACGTAATAATTTTACAAATTCTATGAATCAATCATCAAATTCTTTTTTAACTTTTTTTTTTCTTCTTTAATGGTATGAGCTGATCTAGCTTTTCAAGTTTCAGTAATATTTACCTTTCAAAGGCTAATGAGATTCCATTTCCAATATTTTCAGGTGTTCGCCATCCTTCACTTAGAAGTTTCAGCATCTTGCATTGTAAAGAAAGTTTAAAGAATTGTCTTTTTAACATGCTTATAGTGAACCAGGAAGCTCTGAATGAAACTCTTGGAGTTCTTGGTGATACTCGTCAGCTGTTTTTCAGCGTCCTTCTTCCTGTGAAAGAAATATATACATGATGTTAAAGAATTAAGTAACACCAATTTGACATATTTTGATACATGAATTTATGATAGAACCTCTATTTGTTTGCCCTTTTCAGTCCATGCTGTGTTACGAACCAGACAAGAGGATATCAGCCAAGACCGGCCTCTCACATCCGTACTTCAAGGATGTTAAGATGGTGCCTCCTCCTCGTCTTCCAACATGAGCTTGTATCTTTTCATTATGCAAAGCGTTCTTATAGATAAAATGTATGTGTCGGAAAGAGATATTACCTTATTTATTACACATCTTTGTCTGTATGTACAAATATTAGGTAAAGGTTTGTGTTTCTTTGTGGTTATTTTGTAGTGTAATAATCTTCCACTAACCTCACTTTTATTCTGCTCTAGGCCTCTTATGATAAAAGAAACATCAAACAGTATATTTATGCCAAAAGAAGATGAGCATTGTATGATTTAAAACCTCATACACAATAATGAATAATAAAATGCAAGTGTTATGAGTGGTATTGTTGTTAGTGCCAATAATTCTTTCCATGTTACATAAAAAGTGCCTTTAAATCATCTGTTCTGAGCCAGAAGGGCGATAAATCTGTGTTAAAATATATGAGTTTAGCGCCCTTCTGACATGAGGCGCCCTTCTGGCTCCAAGTGGATGATATACGTTTAATTATGCAGTACATCAGGAATATGACATGAGGCTCCAAGGCTCTGGCTCCAAGTGGATGATATACGTTTAATTATGCAGTACATCAGGAATATGACATGAGGTTGACCTGTACCATTTGTGTTATCAGGGCTCATTCAGAACGTCTTTCTTTATACATCATTTATCAGTCTATCTTGAATATCTTTTGAATTAGATGATAAGCCTTGATCAATTTATCTTCCATGGGTCCTTGGTTTGAAGTGTAAAGAGTTGTCATTACGATGTGTATTTATGTTTTAGTGTTGTGTTTTTATATACTCATTAAGACATATTAGCTTGCAGTTATGATTATTTTGTATGATAGAAAATGGGTTTGCCATAATAGAATTGCTCAGCTTTTGTATAGAATCCCCTCTGAAATGTAGCAAATCAGATTGGTACAATGTTAAAATGGTTTGTGCATACTTTGATTCTATTGGTACTTTCACTCAAAAAGTTCAGTCATAGGCCTACATTTCTTTTTAAGAGAGTAATTGTCCCAGGGTGTGTGCAGTTAGGTATTTTGGGATAGGAATGAACATGTTGATATTGATTATTATAATTTATTAATACTGATGTTTCTTTTCATATGCAATGCAAGGCAACACACAATGTTATTGGTGAATATCTATTTCTAATGGTTGACCTTTATGATATCAACTTATGTAATATTGCATTCTTTCTAAATCAGTCTTGCAATGGTTTAAAGGTTCTTTCATCATGAGCACAGTAGAAGGCATTAGTTTCCACACTTCTTGTTTCATCTCTTACGAATTCCCATGCCAATGTCGTTCTGTCAAGAACGTCCACGATAGTAAAAACAGTCTAGATAGTTCACAATTGTTGGAAAGGAATGATTTACCATACTTTCATAACTCCTAAATCAATGTATATATTTTTTTCTGTGTTACATTATTTTTCTATGAAGAGTTAAAATAAACTTCCTGTACAGGAATAGGGCATACAAGGTATGTTTGCCAAGTAGAGCAAGAGGTTCGATATTTGCATTGCATCACTGAAACCAACTTGGCCAAACTATGTGTTTAGTATCAAAACTGTGCAACACTTCAATTGTGTTTGGAATTGGTGTCTTCCGTATGGTATGAAAACTGCTTTGGTACATAGATGCATTATTTGCCATCCTCTACATTCCAAAAGAGAACATACATACATACATACATACAATTGTCTTTTATATAGCGCAACATCCAACGAATTGCTCGAAGCGCTTTACAGAAATAATGACATAGTAAACACAAAATAATACATGTATAAAAGAGTAATTATAATAACAAACAAAAATATTAGAATTACAATTTACTTATTGAAGAGGTACGTTTTTAGTTTTTTCTTGAAAATTTCAACTGAGGGAGAGGTACGGAGGTCGAAAGGGAGGGTATTCCAAATTTTGGGGCCATAATAAAAGAAACTACACTCCCCCGATCTTGAATTGATACGTGGTAATCGGAGGAGCGTGGGGTCGTTAGAAGAGCGGAGGTTGTATTGAAGTCTAGGAGTATGTAGAAGCACAGACAGATACATTGGTGCACAATTATTCAAACATTGGTAGACAATTAGGGAAACTTTGTATATGATTCTGTTATTTACGGTTAACCAGTGTAATTGCTTAAGTAGAGGAGATGCTGATTCATACCTGCTCCCTCCCAAAACAACCCGGGCAGCACGATTTTGGATTCGTTGTAATCTTTGAATGTCTGTCACATTAGCATTCAAAAGAAGAGAGTTGGCATAGTCTATTCTACTGAACAGTTAAAAGGGAAGGGGATCATTATTTTTGAGCAGTTCATGAAGTGTTGGGATGTGAAATATTCAGTTCATTTTCTTCCATTAATGTTTTCCTTGTTTTGCAGAGAGTAATCTAATGGGGGGGGGGGGGGGGGGGGGGTGATAAAAATGTATTTTAGCATCATCCATTTGTAACTATGTCAGAGTTCATAGATTATATTTGTACATTTTTGTTTATAGAAGTTTTGTCTGCAAATACAAAGAACTTTGTATTTGAGTTGGACTATTCAAGAATTTGTTTGTACCATATTGTGTAATAAAGATGCATTTTGATCAACAAATATTTGATCATCAAGATAATGTCACTCTGCAGAATTTCTAAGTATTCTGAAAAGGTTATTTACCTACTTGATGAGATACAGATATGAAGAGAGAGATACAGAGATAATGAGAGAGATACAGAGATGAAGAGAGAGAGAGGGAGAGAGAGAGAGAGAGATACAGATGCCACGGAAATCTGGACGTATATACCAATTGGTCCTGTCCAGTACCACCTTAGATGTAGATAATGGAAGAGAGATACAGAAATGAAGAGAAAGATACAGAGATAATGAGAGAGATACAGAGATGAAGAGAGAGAGATATCTATACAGAGATAATGAGAAAGATGAAGAGAGAGAGAGAGAGATACAGAGATAATGAGAGAGATACAGAGATGAAAAGAGAGATACAGAGAGAGAGAGAGAGATACAGAGATAATGAGAGCGATGAAGAGAGATAGAGATGAAGAGAGAGATACAGAAATAATGAGAGAGATACAGAGTTGAGAGAGAGAGAGATGAAGAGAGAGATAATGAGAGAGATACAGAGATGAAGAGAGAGAGATACAGACATGGAGAGAGAGAGATACAGAGATGAGAGAGAGAGAGATACAGAGATGGAGAGAGAGAGAGATACAGAGATGAAGAGAGATACAGAGATGGAGAGAGAGAGAGAGATACAGAGATGGAGAGAGAGATACAGAGATGAAGAGAGAGTGAGAGAGAGATACAGAGATGAAGAGAGAAATACAGAGATGAAGAGAGGGAGAGAGATTGTAAGAAACAAAATGTACATTTGTTTTGAAACTATAGTAGTAAACATTTTTATTTTATTTTACATTTATAAATAGACTTTACAAACATGTACAATATATATATCTACAAGTACAAAAATCTATTCACACATTTTGCACAACAACAAATTCACCAAACAGTAAAAAACTGCAAAGGCATCTTCACAAAACAAAATAGATCAAAATACATTTCACATATTGTGTAAATTCAATAGAATAAGGCACATCATTTAAAGGATATAGAATTACTCATTGAAATATGAATATCATTCCCTTTTACACAAAAGGGAGAACTACCATTTGTTCCCCTGTTCGAACAGTCGAGGCACTTTTATATAAACACAAATAAATACTGCTTTATTTCAAATGTAATGGGAAGAACATTGTCACTCTGAATTTACATAAAGGAAGTTCATACACGCATCTATACCAAACATTGTAAAAGTCTCTTAAATTATATAATTTGTGTTGCAAAAAAGCAAATGGAGCCGATAACAAATTTGTTTTATTTTTTGCTATTTTGGAAAGAATCCTCCGATAATACATGAAAGGGAAATAAATTCTTATCCGATTGGACCTCTACAGATTACAGCGATTAGTTGTGGGTTTTAACAAATTTTAAAAAATCTTTCTGGTCTCATACCATACAGAATTACAGATTTGCAAAGAAAACAACATGTTTCACATAATCTATGACCTTCACAAGCATTGAGGCTCACTAGCAGCAGACCATGAATATAATCATCTTAAATACAGAAATGCTGTTTTGGCTATTAAGGGGCACAAAAGCCACCAAGGTTGATGTGATATCAATAGAGCAGGGCTAAAATGGCACCAAATTTGCAAAGTTTGTCATTTTAAGAGGAACATTCCAGCCAGTGAGTGGGAAGCACCATATCAACATTTTGTGTGGCCTCCGAGTAACTTAAACAAGGAACAACAAAGTCACTTTCTGGGTTATCAAAAAGATTACTATGCTGTGAATCTGGTAGTTTGGCCTTAAAACGATGAGAAACAATCAAACTAGGTATTAGAATAGTGTACAATGAACAATGTAATCCACATACATGTAATCGATTTCTCATATCCAGACTTTAAAACAAGGATAAGCCTATCCTACACCTGTTAAAAAGACAATTGTATACAGATATTTTTGCATGGGGAGTAACAATGGACTAGATTCAGGGTTGCACAAAGAAAGGGCTATTGATACCACTGTCCTCATTTACTGTATGGATGTCCTTGGTAACAACTTTGGACGTTGTTATCGTGGACCCCTGTCTGAGCTGTCCCCCTGTAGATGCTTGGACATGATACACATCCTGTCTGCTCGAGTCCCTGACAGGATGGGACTGTGACAACCCGTGCTGGAGCTCCACTAATCTCCTGGGCAAAGGCACATTCTTGGAAAAGCTTTCCTCAAGGAAGGGATGGTTTGGCAAAGAAGATGGCACTCTGCTTTCATGGAGCGACTGAGGTAGTTCTGCATACTCTGATTCAAAGGAGAGATTGGCGTCAGTAGGCAGCATTATTCCTTGTGGAGGTGGTTCGCTGTGGGTATTGACCCAGGACTTTGTGAAATGATGTGTGTCCTGCTCAACTAAAGCATAGCGTAACATCGTTGTACCTTGAGAAGTGGTCCTGTTAGATGGAAGAACTTGAGGTGGTCCATTGGATGGGAGCTCAGTTTTCCTTGCAGGTACTTTTAATGGCATTTCCTGTGTAAGACTGTGGTCCTTTTTACCGTCACTGCGTCTCCTAGCAGTTATGTTACTGTGTTGCTGCAGCTGTTTCTTTACAGGTGGACTTTTAGAGTTTCTTCCTGCAATGCTGGTTGATTCTGTTCTTGAAAAGTTTGTATCTCCATCTTTCAAAAGAGCTACAGAATTTGGACCAATGTCATCCTCAGTGAAGTGATGAAAACCGTGGGCTGTCTTCTTCTTATCCCCCATCGACGCAACTTCACCTTGCTGAACAACATGGTTTCCTGTCATAGTCTCTTTGCCAACCTGGTCTCCCCTTGCAAAACCTCTCTGTTCCTGCAACCTTGTATCTCGATGTTCATCACGAGGCACTTGAGAGTTCTGTGGGTGTTGTGCCTTTCTCATCTCAGCAACCGGATGGACACTGCTGGAATTACGAAACGTGGATCTTGGGGTTTCATCTGAATGCACTCTTCTGCTTACTCTACTTGAAGGGATGTAATTAGCTTGTGACTGTGGTCTAAGGTCACTGGTTAAAGTCTGTGGAGTAGACAAAGAAGATACTCTGCACCTGCTCATGGGTAAGGATCTTGTTTGATCGGCTGGTGGCTGGTCAGGTGAATGGTTAGACGTTTCTGTTCTGATGGAAGGAAATAATGAAATGAAGACAATAAGCATATTATTCAGTTAAACCTGTCGAGGAGTCTTATCATGTTTAACAACGGGAATACTCAGAACTAGGTCTAACTGTCTAAGTTCAACCCCAACGTTTGTTTTGGTGATAATCACTAACATTACCAGTAATTGTTCGCTTTTATTCACAGACAAAGAAATTTAATTCCTGATAAATAAGGCTAACTATAACTATGAGTATCACAATAACAACCTGTCATTTAAAACCCCCCAAAAAGGTTCCCTGCTTATGATAAAATTACTGAACATATTCTACATGAAAGGTTCAGATCATAATAAACATTGGCACCAATTCTATCTTCACACCCCCCCCCCCCCCCCTCAAAAAAAAAAATGTCTCAAGACCAGGAAATTTCAGGTCAATACTAATGCTTAGTGAGTTAAATCCTACACTCCGTACCTAAGCTATCAATCGATCACATGTCAATCAAAACCACTCTGTTAAACTTGCCCCAACAATCAAGTATTGCTGGGAGAGCTAAAATTAACGAAATGGTGTACAGGCTGCATCATAGTCATCATCAGAATAATCGCTGGACAATCTCTAAGACTCTGCGATTTCTCACCTTTTGTTTTCTCTGGGAACATCTCTCAAGGAATGGACCTGCTTGGTGTAGAACTTGCGCATCTTAGCAGCCACTCTTTGTCTCTCTTCAAATACTGCCGTCCTAAGGGTCTCTTGACACCGTTTCTGCATGTCAGTGACGTAGCTCATGGCAGAGGCTATGAGAAAATGAAACGTGAGAAAAATTACTGTTTTATTCATGGGAGTTCTTTTGGGATAATGGTATATAAATCTTAAACAATAAAGCTATATCCCTCATCAGCAATTTTATACAGATTTTGTTTAGGTTACTGAGTTTTTTGTTCCCAGAAACTATTTACTCTGTTTGTTGTCCTTTACTGAAAGATACATCAGAAATCTATTTCAATTATTTGGATCAATCAGTTACAGTACCTTTTTTACATTGTTCCAAATCTGAGCTGATAAAACTATTTTGTGAGGTCTGTAGCTTTATGATATTTTCTATAGGACCTGTTGAAAGTACAATTTTAAGCAAATGGATTTTCCTCCCATTCTCAAGGGTCTATACAAAACTAATCATCTCTGAATATGTTGATGGACTATCAGAAGAACTTAAATTTGATGAAAATAGAACTATCAAACACAATACTTACAAGCTTAACTATTGACTTACCTCTGACATTTTCTACTGACTTCATATAATGCATCTTCAGCTCTTCAATGATTGCAGACTCATCATTTGAACTTGTCTAAATAGAGAACAGGAAAGAATATTCGAAAATACAAGTGAACTGTGTGATATTCAAGCTTTAGCATATTCAAATTATTTCATGAAGACAAGTGGGTATACTTTCAAAACATCTTTGGAAAACCTGCTAAACCTGTTACTTCTTCTACTAAAGACTTGAAATGAATTGTCACGCAAATCAGCAGACTATGGATTAATTTGGACTGGGTTTAAATCTCACTTACGGGGTCCACTGGCAAGCGTGAGCCACATTTGCTACAGTTCACCAAGGTAAAGTAAATGGGGACCCTGTAGGAAGCAATTCCTTTAATTCTTCAGAGCCTAAATAACTTCAAATTACTTTAAAAGTACAAAGAGGCATTGTTCCACGAGTGCCATACAAGAACCTGTATATAAAGACTGTTTAAGAGAGACTTATAGGTATGTGGTCTTTGTACATAGGTTTGTATAAAACACATTTCCACAGGATACACTGTGGGATCTTTTTTATAAACAAATTGGTCTTTATGTACAGGCGATAGTTTAAGCATATTGTTACCTGAACAGAAATGCTATTGACATCTTTCTGTGTCTGCATCTTTTCTCTCTTCCATTTCTGCCTCTCCTCCTCCCATCCTGATTTCATCTTCTCTAAGACTAAGGAATGTTTCTGCTGAATGGCTGACACACGCTCCTGCATCGATTCCATGGTAACAGAGTTGGCCTCACGCATCTCAGTCTGCAGTTGCTGTAGAGATGATTAAAAGAGTTTACTCCCTTTTCATATAAACTCATTTTTCAAATATTGCCTATTAGAGTAGCAGGCTCACAAAATGACAGTTATCATTTTTTTCTTCATGAACTGCTTTTAGCACAATATGAACATGTTTAAGCCAGGTGCTTTTAGAAATACCTCATGTTCGTTTGGACAGGAGTTGCTTTCTGCCAGTGAGTACTGTAACAAATTACTAGTCAGTTTAGATGGATATGATGACAGGGAGGAAAAATGATTTTAAAAAAGGCTGCTGGACTCAGAGCAACTCCTCTGCCCATTCACTCAGCACAAGAACCTTAATTATGCAAAATTTAATGGAAAAAATGATCAAGAAGAAGCACAACAAATTAAGAGTATGATTTTTAAAATTCACAATAGTAAAATGTAAATCAATGACTGATGATGGTGAACATGTTTAAGTTTAAGCACATAGAGGCATCTCATCTTACCTCTAGCTCCTGCTGGACAGTCCTCTCAGCCTGCTGGAGCTTGGTCTGGCATGACCTGAGCTCCTGCTTCAGACCCATCACCTCCTGGTCGTGTCTCCCTTTGAGCTGGGTATACTTGGCTCTGACCTGCTTACCATCTCTCTGGGAGACACTAAGGGCCTCCTGGATCTTCTGGAGCTGCTGCTGTAACACCAGGAGCTCCTTCTCCACTCTTGTTTCCTGTACCTTACCTTCATTGCTCTTCTGTGAATGAAACCAAATGAAAAGTGTTACAGTTATGTAGGTGGGTGTAAAAACTACATTACAACAACATGTCCCTTCTCCTCATCTCAATAGGAAAGTAATATAAAGTATAAGGAAAAATCTTAATTTTGAAGTGTGGATGGAAATATCACAAAGTTTTGATGAATTCAGTTAATGCTTCTTCCATAGAAATATTTGGTTGGGATATTTCATTGAAGATAGGGAATTTTAACAAACCTCTACAAAAATGTTATATATAAAGTATCTTTTCCACAGCATGTGCAATACTAATTCAAATCATCCCTGGGTCTACATTTGGGTTATATACATTCAAAAGGCAGTGATAGTGTAAACAGTGCTAAAATGTTAACATTTCTTGACACTACATTCAAGGTGATTGTTCTCATTCTCTATAAATATGAACCCCATCAATTCTCATGATCTGATATTAAGTTAGAAAGGTGAAAACAACTTTAAATACCTTTTCTAGAGACTCTCTCCTCCTTTTCTCCTCCCATTTCTTCCAGCTCTCCTTGGCCTCCTTCACAGCTGCTGCGATCCTCTCTTTGACCTGCAGCTCTTCATCAGTGAACTTAGCCTGCCATTCAGCCAGCTCTACAGCATGATTGGCCTTCATTTGCTCTATGGTAGACGCAGCAACCTGAATGGGGTAACGAAAATGGCTCCATCAGCACATGATCTTTCTGGAATGTAGATTTTATAGACGCACAACGTTTTGGGGTCCACACTGTACACTTGATGTCACAATCCCATCACAATGTTGCCAAGAAAAAAAAAGTTGAGTTGTGATATACAATCACCAAACACACTCAAACTTCCTATGTATTTATCCTGATAAGTTGCCATCAGACTTTCAAACCCTTGACAACTTCTACCTGAAGAGCTACCCCAGGATAATTGGCACAGATAACTACCTGCTTACCTCCCATGTATCTACCCCCTCCCCCCCCCCCTTCCTGACAGCTTCTGTGGGTACAATTTATCCCCGGACAACTACATTTACCCCTCTGGACAATTCCAGCTACAGACAATACATTTGTGTTAATTACAGGTGTATTCCCAATTGTTAAGGTAGCAAATGTGCAAGAAGGGTAGTGGTGTCAGAAATAACTAATCCCTACCCAAAAGATACTTGTTATTCTTCACAAGATTATGCTTACCCTATCAAAGGACTTTCTGCGCGAGTTTTCTTGTCTCATCCAATGCTCCTTGGCCTTCTCTACTTCACTGTTCACTTGACTAGTCAATGATGCTGACAGCTCCTTATACCTCTGCTGTATATCTTTCAACTCAGAAGCCATGCTGCTGAGGTGATCAGCTTCATCCTAAATGATATAAATTGATGGATGTTGATTTGATTATTAGTTCTCATTAAATATGTCAAGAACTATATCTTATGAACAAATTATGCATCTGTAATCTTAAAATATATGTTCATATATGAATAAAACTTACAACTTACAATTGTGTTGTCACCATGTCAAATTATCTATACTTATTTCATGCTATAACGTAGGGTAACTAATAATTTTTGGTTACCTTTTCAGCAATTTCCTGCTCTTTATCCAGCTTTGCTTTATCCTTGGCGTCAGTGATCTGATTCTCTAGCTTCTTCTTCTGCTCCTCATGAGCATTCTTTAAAAAGATGATTTCTTTCTCATACTTTTCCAAATGTTTTTTCTACGAGTATTTGGAAAGATAAAACAGAATTAACATACCGATAGAAATCAACTTTTTTCCAAAAATGTTTGTGCAATAAGAATTGTGTAGTACATGTATAACAGTCCTTTGATGCAAAATTTGAGAAGCTAAATTGTGAATGAAGTTATGTTAGGTTGCTTGAAACAATTTGGATGTTTGAAACATTAATTACTTGAAGAGTAAACAGAGAATTTTCCTCTGTTGTGATTCTGTTTTCAAGGAACATTTTTGTGTGAATTCACATGAAAATGCTGAAATTTCCTACAATTTTTTTAATATTGAGAATCCATTCCCCCCCCCCCCCCCCATGCTTGTTTGTAATGGTAATCTTAATGGGTATATAATTCATCATACTATCATAGCCCGAAAAAGGTTAGGTAGTACCTTAAATGATAATATTTCTTGATGGAGTAGGAAATCAAGGGCATTACATCAGCCACACTTTTTCAGATCAACATTTTTTTTTTTAATTACCATGTTCTAAGTAATAATTTACCTGATCTAATTTAATCTTCTCCAGATCTTCCTCATTCTCCTTTTTCTTTTTCTCCAAGAGAAGGACAATCTCTGCTCTGTGGCTTGCCTCCATGGAAGACTTAAGTTCATCAAAGGCACTTGTCTTCTCTCTCTCCATCTCTGCTTTTGTCTGTTAATTTAGCATATTACAGAGATCTAATTGCAAGTCATTTATACAAAATGAGTATAGATTTGTTCTTCAAACTAGAAATTTTAATGTTGACAAGATTTCCTTCCTTAATAGAAAGCAGTGCTTCCTAATATTTCTTGTCTCCCCAAAAACATGCCCTCAAAATAAATGCCCCCAAATTAAATGAAACAAGACAAATGCAACTGCATCTCCTATATGCCTCTGCCTTAAATTCAGTATAGGAAATGACCAAAGTATCCTCCGGCATACTGCCTGGGGATACAATTATAAACCATTCATGTGACCAATCAAATATTTGTTTTTCCTCTTTTGAGAATTTTTTAATAATGGTAGGCATCATTATCAAAGTGCATTGCTACCATGAGTAAGATGTAAAACAGCCATGTCTTTATATGTAACTACAGTTAACGAAGCTACCTAGGGAATTAATACATTTTGGACATCTCAAGCTCTGTTTGGTTTTACTTTTAAATCTATCACAATGTGTAGCTATAAGATAGATACACGGAATGAATACAGCAAAATCTATAGAAATTGCTACAAAGAACAAATGAAAGATTGAATGCTCACCTGTTGTAGAGACTCTTCTTTGAGAGCACTGATCTGCTTCTCCATGTTCTCTTCCAGGCTTTTCTTCTCATCACAGAGCTCCACATAGAGGGCCTTGGTCTTATGGAGTTCATTCTCCAGCTCAGCCATCTCATTCCTGTATTAAGGAAATGACAGATTGGAGGTGAGCGAGTGATTGGAGATGGGTTCATGGTGCTCATTTTGGATAAATCATGAAGAGAACTTGGTGCATGCAATAGCACGTTCACCACTAGAAAATTTAACAACTAAGCAAACATCACTGGAATCTCTTAATTTCGTGCTGGTTATAGTTTGCTCGGTTTTTCTCTATGCTTGTTTCTTGGTTTGTTTGTTTGTTTGTTTGTTTTGGGTGTTGTTTTTTTACAGCCAAAACTTCTTATAACAGACATAGGACAGAGAAAAACAGAAAATTGTAATAAAAGTCATAAAGATCCAGAGGACAGCACAGACTGGTCGGCCTTCCGGTGGGTCAGGGATCCCAGCATATCATGAAAACAAAATTCCCTCAACTTCCCTCCGATTGAATTTCAAAATTCCAGAATCAATATTTCAGCCTAATTCTAGTTTGAAACATCTTCAATGAACAGTAGTTGCAGGGACCAATTGGCTGTACACATGTACTTGTATGTACGCCTGATTAGAGGACTCAGTGATTGGGGACAGATGGTGTAGCATTGACAATAAAACACCATACAATTGAAATATTTAATGACTGTTTACCTGACTTCTTGTAGCTGATACTGATGAGCTTCTACACGAGTCTCTTTCTCAGTCTGAAGCTCATTGACAAGCTCTTCTCTCATGTTACGTGAAGCATCCTCATGAAGCTGCAAACATGTCATTTGACACCTGGAGAAAGATCAGACAAGTTGACAGGTTTATACTTTACAAAATGACATTCTCAGAAGAGCTTTTTCCATAATTCTCAAGAAGTATCACAGTATGTTTTCAAGGTGATTTGAATTATTCAATTGTTTTAAAGATACTGTACACACAAACGAATTGGCATCTTAAGCTTATCACAAGTTCAAATGATTCATTAATGAGTCGTATTCTAGGCATATCTGACAATGGCTCTGCTATCAATTTTGGAGAAAAAAATTCTAATCTTCAAATCCAGACCCAAGGCAAATAGCCCGACTCTACATATTCAACAAAATAAAGCCCAGAGCAAATGCTGCAAGAGCAAATGTCAGGTTACCCTTAAACGAATGAAAGAATTCCTGTTGCTTCATCATATGAGGGGTTACTTAATGAATATATTCTAATTCTAAATCTAGAAAGTTTAAATCACTTTGCTCACACACAAAAAGAACTAACAAAGTTGTTAAAGGACGGACCAAACAGAGTAATTAATTTTAAAATTTATATTTATATAATCCTCACCTGTCCACAGCTTCTTTCTTGTCCTGATCACTATCAGCTACCATCTGAGCCATCTCTGCCTTGAGCACTGCCAATTTTTCTACCTGCTCCTGGTATGCTGCTGTTTTAGCCTCCAGTTCTGATTTCAACCTCTCTAAGTATTCTTTATGAGCGTCTGTTTCTTTGGTTGAGTTTTCTGATAAGGTCTTCTTGAGTATTTGAAGTTCAGCCTGTTACATTATAAAAAGAAACAGGTGAAAAATAAAGTTTGAAAGAAAATGAAGTGTTGAATTGATATCCCAATCACAACCCTTTGAAATAAAAAATTGCCCCCTTAATTATACATTTTAGAGATTCATTCTTCTATCCATTTTTTCTGGAAGGATAATACGTGTGCAAGTCTCTCTCTCTTTCTCTCTCTCGATCTCTCTTTCTCTTTCTCTCTCTATTTCTCTCTCTCTCTCTCTCTCTCTCTCTCTCTCTCTCCCTCCCTCCCTCCCTCCCTCCCTCCCTCCCTCCCTCCCTCCTTCCCTCCCTCCCTCCCTCCCTCTCTCTCTTGATCGACACAGCAATCAACTCCTAACTCACCTCCACTTGACCAACTCTAGCTTCAGCCCCCTCCACTCTCCCTCTCCATTTCTGTCCCTCCATCTTTGCCTCCCTGAGCTCCACCTGGAGCTTGGTGACATGCTCCCTCTTAGATCGGATGCTCTGTAGAGATCGGCTTAGCTCAGCCTTCAGCTTCACCAGGGTCTCCTCAGGGGACATGGGCTCCTTCAGGTTTCTCTGGGATCTGTAGGTGGTAGGAGAGATAGAGACACATAATTCAATTCATGGGACTGAGAAAAGAAGTATGCTGGTACTCCTAATACATACTTGGATTTTATCAAGTATACACAGAATTTCAGTCTTTGATAGAAGATATTGCAAACAACAAATTTTACAATTACAATAACTAAGCCTCATATGAAATCGATATCATACAAGTGAATAAAAAATGTGTACACTTATCCAAAGAATAATTAATTTTGTATTTGCCTTTTTATAAAATAATGCTTCAGCAGATGCAAAAAAACAGATGGCATTCTGAAAACTGTTACTCTCTCTTTGTAAGAAGTCATAAATTCATGCTGAATAGACATTCATTTTTGGCGCCTTTCTACACTATTTTCTATGCTCAGACAGTGACTTGACCGAATTTAGATTTGTTATGACAATTAATATACCTAGCAGATAGCATCATCAGAATAACACCTCTAGTCTTTGAAATGACACGTGAGAAATATCACCATTATTATTGCTAACATTCATCTCTAAGAAGAAAAGATATATGCAAAGATATGCGCCATTATTTACCCTGCTGGTTGTGGAGTTTTCCAGTCTTCCTTGGCAAGGTTTCTCACTATGTCTTCATCACTAGGGGTGGGTGGAGAATGGTGCTTAACCCCTGACCCTGATATGACCCCAAGGTCAACAGCACCTTCATAAAGCATTACCTGGTCTTTCAGATCTGCCAACTCCTCCTTTGGAACCGAGAAGAGATTACATTCATTTTTATGTTGGTGAGTTTTAAAAAAAATGTTATTATGTTCCTCTCTTGTATTCAACACTGATAAAACATTTCATTAGGGTGGAATTTACTGTGCAGATGTTATTCAATGTATTTTTAACAGACACCTACAAGACATAATTCTTTGAAAACTTCCCAGTGGTAGTGCACTTAGATGACCCCTGAACAGATTTCCTTCTCCCACACCCCTTGACAAATACACCATAAGAAAATACCTGGACAATTACTCCTTTATAACATCACATCTTGACACTCCAGTTGCTTTCTTCAATATCTGTTATGTGATGTCTACATAGTTCTTACCTGTAATGTTTGGCACATATTCTCTGCCATCACTTTAGATTTGCTGGCATCATTAAGTCTGACTTGAAGCTCCTGCACTGCTGGCAATGAACCTAAATTGAAAAGAAGGAGTAGATGAACAAACCGTAAAACAAAATATTCCTTTTGGACTAATTCCACAAATTTGAATTTGAATGTTTTCTTAAAGACTATGATGCTTCGAATGTTGACAATACAAAAACAAAATTATCATGAGACAATGAGAGGTTACTGTGAATGGGTTCTAGGTGGTTGTTAAAAATATACTGGTACTGTGGTACTTTTCACAGCCAGCCATAAATAACTGAGAAGATACCAAAGTACAATGACCTGACTTACAAAAATATATAACATCTTCAAGATCTGTTCTAAAATAAGCTAATACCATGACACAAACAGGGTTAGAAAATGTTCTGGTAAGGTAAATAATAGCAAAGTATTTTTCACCAACCTTGTAATATAAGCTCTTGGCATCTGTTCTGACTGTCTTGCAAAGAAGCTGTTAGTCTATTCACTGTCTCTGCATGTTCCATTCTTGCTTGATCAGCTCCTTTAAGAGATGTATTTAGTCTTGCTTCCAACTGATCAACGAGTGTACCCTACAAGCAACATGATGATTAGAAAGTTTGTTTAAAAACTGCAAATAAATGGTAAACATCAATCAAGCAAAATATGGTTTGAAAATTTATGTATATCTAGATGAAGGAACGTTGAAAGGCGACCCCAAATTTGCCTGGCGACATATGCTCCAGGCTATATTTGTCCAAGATAGAGAGATAGCATCAGGTTGCAAATTCATTTAAGGTTAGGTTTAGGATTGGGGCTGGGTTTGGTCAGCGCCTTTTGGATCTGCTCAAGGGTCGAATGTAAGAAATTTGGTTAGTGGAGTAATTGTCACCAAAGCATGTGTCGTAGAACCTAACCTGTCTATTAAAGATGAAATGTACAAAAATTTGTGATTTATTGTAAAAAATGGATAATGTGTGCTAGTTCTCTGCAAACGATCAGTTCTCTTGAAAACCTTTTCCCATGACAACATTCTGATTACCCTTTCAGAAGCCAACTTGCTAGCTGCATCTACTTTCTCCCTCAAATTCGCTGTTTCTTGTGAGAACTTCTGCTGTAGTCCCACTAGCAGAGAATCATGCTGTTCCCTTGCTCTGTGTAGTGGCTGTGAACGTTGGACTTCAAACAGCTGGTGATTAAGGCTTTCTATGTTAGCTTTGGCAGTGTCTAACTCTGAATGAAGCTGTGATGGAAAAACAAAAAAGAGAAAACAGTTTACTGTCATGATTTTTGTCATGAATTCAAATGTTTTTCTTTTGTATTATCTCCCCTTTACTAAAAACCACTTCTTATTTGCAAAAGGTATGTTTTGTAAATCAACAGAAATTAGTCCACTTTCGTTAATATTAGGTCTATGAATTTTGTATTCATCTGATTCATCATCAACCATACCAATTCAGTGCCTTAATCAGCCTGTCGTTAAGCCACTGTAAGATTTTCTTCTTGGAATTGCTATTTCATGAATACGAGAATTTTCTTTTTGTTTTGATTTTGTTTTGACTACTGTGTTGTCTTTCATTGATGTGAAAAATATCATTGTCAACATTTTAATTGAATTAGGGGTACTTATTAGCCTCTCAAGCATACATGAAACAATGCCTTATCCTACTTTAGACTGCAATAATATCTAATAAACTTTTACTAACATAACAGATAATATAATTCTCAGAATATCACCCTAGAGCGCTTTCAGAGTTTTTCAATGCTCCAGAGCTGCACTGCTCCCTGCACCTGTGTATTTGTTCACTGACTCCAGGGACCGTTTCACAAAGCCTTTTTTCAATGACAAATGACAAAAATCTGTGACAAATCTGCTGATAACCAATCAGAAGCAAGGATTTCAGTAGCTTATAACAAAAACTATCATTTGTCACTGATGACAAGTTTTGTGAAACGCCCCCCAGGTCTTTACCTGTTGGTTAACCTCTGTGAGTGACTGGACCTGTTGTTGGACTGATTGTAGCTGGCCTCTCAGAGTATGGTTCTCATTGTTCATTTGATTCATCAGCTTCTGAGTTTCACCGTAGGTTGTACCCAAGCCATCTCTCTCATCTATATAATCACAATAAAACAAATATATCATAAGAACATTTTTTGTATGGTTTTGGAAAGGAGCCATTTCTTCCCTACAATTCATGGGGAAATCAAATGATCAAAATTAAAGAAGTTAGTTTTCGATCCCTACTAAATGGCCAATCGCCCAAAAAGAAAGTATATGATAATGGTATCTTTTATTCCTAATGATAATTATGTATTCCTTAACCTAAAGACAATATAGGTGTCTTTGAAACAAGCAATTATTCATCTAAACACATATTTCTGGGCAGAAACATTATGATCATAGAGAACATGACTATCAAGAATTGCAAAATCACAAATCCTTGTTCACTCAAGCCATGGTAAACCAGATGGATAAAAATCACTGAGTTAAAATAATAATTTAATGTGTAAATGAATTGCAAGTGGGGTAGGATTTTGTTTTGCTACATTCAACAAAGACCCCTAAGCGTACAACTGTAATCTGTGTTCTCATATAAAGATTTAAGATGCACCCTACTGTCTCGTCATCCCTTTTGCTAGTACAGTACTTTTCTACCAGTATTCTACCACTTCATGTATGAGCGAGGCTCAATGATGGAAGATTTAATCACCTTGTGCCATAGCAAGTTGATGATTAAGGATGCGTTTCTCCCTAGCGCTTTCCTCACGCAAGGCCTCTAGCTGAGAGGTCAGGTTGTTTATCTCACGCCCCCTCGCCTGGTAGAGTATCTCTAGTTGAGCTACATCTTGTCCTCTGCTTCCTATAACAGATATTATGACCAACAACAAAAATAACTATTGTGAGAACTTTTCTTGGAGAGGTAGGGGAACTGCAAAACTAATGTTAAAATTCTCACTAAAATTAAGAATTGGCAAAAAAAAGTGACATACCAATTTATATTGTTAGGTAAATATGGAATACTTTATTCAATGTTAAATTTTGTCAACTCTTAAAAGCACAGGCCAATACTACATCTAACATTCATTTGAATGTACAGGATGTGAATGCAAGACATGGACATCTTCAATCAATATATATTTTTTAGTATTTCATTTTTAATTACATGAAATCAATTTAGTCTATTAAATTTGATTTAGGATTCAGAAATTTTAATTCATGAAAAAAAAAAAAAAAAAATATCAAAACACTTTTCCTCATCATAGATTCTCCAAATATCATTGATAATACTGTAATGACTCATTGAATGTCAACATATTAATTTGTTCATGACTTTGACAAAAAAGTGTACATTTTCTGTGAACTAGCATTCTAGGGATTGTATAATACAGTTTATGTCTCTTTTTCCTCTATAAGATATTGATACTGACCTGCATGAGTGAACTCTGTCTGATAAGGATCCACACTATGCTGATAGTGATCATCACCGTTCATCATCTGATCAGACATTATCCTTCTGGTATCATTTCTTGCCTCATCACCATCATGCTCTCTCCTTCTCTGATAGTGCACGATTCCAACGTTCGGCTCGCTGGATGCATGCCGCATGACACGCCCATCCTCGAGCCGCGGTGGAAAGTGATCAAGGTCCTGCCATCCCGTGGCTTGGCCGTTCGTCAATGGCTTTGCTTTGGCAGACTTGGGTGGCTCGTACTGTTGACTGTAACGCCGTTCCCCTGTGAATGGCTCTTCCTCTTCATCACCTGAAGAGTGATGGTCCTGCAGATAAAAGTTTGAATCTTCCCCACCTTCTCCATGACCGTTCCCGACAAAGTCGAGACCTTTTGGCACATGCATCCCATGATGCAAGCTGCCCGCATCCTCAGGTGGATACACCCCATTTATATGATTCCCCTGCTCATCCTCTCCTCCATAATGTTGGCTATCCTCATGTTCGCTCAAATCAAGATCACTACGATGTTTATCACCATATGCGGTCTGTTGCCTTGCAGCGTCCCATGCAGCAGTGGTGGGACTTAGTCCTTGACCATACTTGTTGTGAGGTTCAGGAATCTGAAGTCTGTTGTGGTGATGTTCAAAATGCCAATCTTGGCTGTTATCTGGAGTGTGGTTCTCACTGCTATGGCCGGGATCTGCATGACCGTTGGTCGCAGGGCCGAACTGATGGACCCCATGGCCGTTGGTCACAGGGCCGACTTGATGAACTCCATGACCCCCTGCAACCTAGAGGTCGTATCAACCACACAGTAAATAAGTTAAATTCCTTTTACGTTATAAAAAATTTAAGTAAGTAATTGGCTTTTACAAATTATGTAGACCTATTAAGTGCTTAACACCGGGAAGCATTGGAAATAATGGAGTGTTTTTCATTAAATAACCATAAAATTTAAACAGACTTTTTGCAACCCTTGTGGTGCCACCAAGTATTCAAACATAAAAAAAGGGATATTATTAGTTATGTAACTTTGGATTCAAAGGTTTTTTTGCTTCTATTATTCATCTAAAGAGCATACTGTTCCATGACCTAACTTTAAATTCTTGGACCCGTTTTGAATTTCAGGAAGGCAATCAAGCCTATCTTTGTAAACAATATTAGATGCACTATTAAATTCTAGGCAGTTGTAATCTACGGTCACAAAGGTTCGTACGAACGATTATTTCGTACAAATCTCTGTTTTTCCATTGTCTGAAAATTGTCTGTACAGCGTTTGTAGCAGTTCGTAATGGCATTTGTGACCGAGGTTTAAAATGCCTACAGCAGTGAAAGGGTTTAAGTGATATTGACAATATATGCATAGCTCTGTTCTTCGAATATAATCAATCAGAGTTTGAAATCTGTTGATCGTGAAATACTCATATCTACTTCAACATGACCATGTCAAGTGTTAACTACATGTATATTAAAATAGGATTTAACATTGTGTGTTTTGACATAATGTACACATTCGAAGTTGTACATGTATTGAGTGCAATCCTGATTATTATCATGTTACTGAAGAAAAAGTAGAAGTTGTTTTAATCTCCTATAAAATATTTGATTCGGTAAAGCAAGAACCCCTGTTTTACCATGAAATTAATGTCAATGACCATTGACTAATGGATTCAATCTGAAGAACAATTTTTAACATATTTTCTGAATGCTTCTGATGTTGAACATTATTATATCTTTCATTATAGCTAGTACCATTGATGGACATCCATGATGCTCTTACACTAGACTAACTAAATACTTAATGAAGACTGACAATTAGGAGAGGTTTGTTATGTTCCAACTTGAGACAACATTTGTGTACATTGTATGCTCTTGTACATTCCTATGAAAACCATGCATAATTGGCTGTCAATCATGAAACCTGCAATGCTATCAGCTAATGAGGCAATTGTTAGATCACTCTTCCATCTCACAGACAGAGTTACTGGGAGCTTATCCTCCTTTTCAACTAGTAGCTTAAATACATGTACTCCTGTTACCATTATAAGCCATAAATGTGAACAACTTGGGCATTGTGTATCTGTCTACCGGTATTGTAAAGACAAGTTCAATACCAAACAAGGTCCAATGAACAATGAAGTCTTGCCTCACGATACAATGGTTATCTTTACAATAGCATCCACTCCCCCCCCCCTTCCTTCCTTCCAATCAGCAGTTCTATAAAATTGTATACTTTCTATATCATCAACAACATCATTGTCACTCTTTCTTCCTGAAGTAAAATATAAAATTATAAGGTGACTTGTGTTTGTTCACATGATAGACATACAAGAAACACTTTGACAGAGATTGATAGTAACAAAAAAGAGTATATATATCTTAAAACAAGCCTGCCAAAATCCACAAGGAGAATATTTATTTTTCCATTTCTTTTTAAAATAATTATTAACAAAACACATTGTCGATTTCTCACTATTCTACCCCTTTCATTCAATAGCATAAAAAAATAGAAATCAAAAGTAAATTGTATTGAATCTCTCAACAGATATTCAGACCCATGAAGTGTCATTGCAGCAAATATCAATTCAGAGAAAAAAATTTGCTTTTAATATGATTAAATGTGCTCAAATGATGAAAATGAAGATGATGCAAATGGTATAAATGATGACTTACCCCTGCTGGAGTCTTAAGAGGAGGAGCTCCACCCCAGATGTGAGGGGTGGAGGCCTGGTGGTATGCATCAGGTTTATACAGCCAGTGATGCTGATCTTCAGTGGTAGGACTGTGCAACAATAACACAAAAATACAGTGACTAAACTTGTGATAAATGTTACTTGCACTTGTTAATAATTTAACATATGATCTGCATGGAGAGGAAAAACATACTCAGTATACCTGTCTACAGAGGATGTGTCACATACCACATACATGTATGCCAATATATAATATATTTGTTTTGTTTATGGTTTTGGGGGTGTTAAACCACATATAACATTGAGTTCAGAAAGAATTATAAAAACAAATGGAAAGAGATCATAAAATAGGGAAAATGAAAAAAAAAAAGATGAATGAGAATGGGTAAGGAAGATGTATGTATGTCCCTTTTTCTTTTTTCTTTTTTGAAAAAGAGACAGTGTACGGAAAAAGAGAGGTGTAGTAGAAAAGATGGGACATGGAGAGAAAAATAATGGGAAAGTACAGAGGGGAAGGGAAGAAAAAAGGACAACGGGAATATAAAGAAAAAGGGGAAATATAAAGAAAAACAGGGAAAAGATGAGATGGGAGGGGGTGATAAATACATTTTACAATGAAGACCTAGGGTTTAAAGTAAAAATCAGAAATTATCAAGAAAAGGAAGCATACCTCTGTCTAGGAGATAATTCTGGTGAACAGCTTGAGAGCGATGAAGATTCTCTAGAACTTGGAATTGATTGAACATCGTCTTCTAACAAGTCATCTGGAAGAGCCTTAGACAGCAAGTCCCTGAGCTATTAAACAAATTTGAAGAGAAAAAAAACTTTGTTGGTAGAAACTAGAAAGCATCAGGAATAAATTGATTGAGACAATTGTGTAAGTGACATGGGCATTTGTAACAGCCACAATTACTTCATCTGTACTTCACCATTTGATAAAGGGTTGGGGTCGCATCTGGGTTTAGTTAGGATTAGGGTAATTAAATGTATGAATAGAACTTGGTCAATGGTAGAATTTAGGACTTCCATTGGTGAACGATACTGATCACTCTTTGTTGCCTGGAGCATGTTGAATAGAATCCTGGCACATGGTAATGGGAGATTATATAGATTGTTCCCCCCCCCCCCTTTTTTTTCAACAGACATTTATAAGGTCTGAACTTAACTTACCTCAAAGAGCAAACCTTTAATGTCTCCCACATTTTGCAAAACTATCTCTGTATCCAGAGATTTGAGGCTGCTGAGCAGACTTGTGACTTTTATTCCTGGTGCTTCACCTACCATACCTCTGACAATGTCCTCATTATATACTTCAAAAAGTCCAAACAATATTTTTCATTTCAGCATCACATATCCATTGCAAAGAGATATCAAAAGTTGTAACATTGTTTTGTTGTTGTATGGTCTGCAAGATGTGATTTTGACCGTGAGATGACCAAAGAAATTGATATCCGTATCACAATGGCAACTTCCATACCTCCATATATGAAATTAACCATTAGTAATCACACAGTCTTGGAAGATAAACAGTCACCAACAAAATAATCCAGAACTTAAAATCCACAAGAACAAAGTTGATTTGATCCCTTCAATGAAAATTTGGAATGGACTTTAAAATATTATTATTATTATTATTATATAATAATAATTGTATTCCAATATTTGTATTCCAACAAGTGATTTACAAAAAATGGTAGAAAGTTGCCAGGGCGTGCAGATCAGCCAGTGACATATTACCCCACTGATACTGATAGAGACTCTAGGTTCATCTAAGAGATTAGGACAACACTGAGCCTATAATTATCCAGAAGCCACAACTCCAGGAGACAAGTGAAGGGGGTAATATGAATGAATGAGAGGAAGAAGGGCCTAAGTCCGGTATTTTGGCCTTAAGTAAGGCCCAGCAGTTTGTTGCTGGCAGACCATTCTTCCTAATGAATGAAAGAGAGATAAAAATCTACTCCGTATTATCTTTCCAAATGAACCAAATGAAACCATGCACAAAAGAAAAAACAAATGCATTTCTTTTTGGTGTGTTTGTGTTAATAAACCAAAAGCTGTTTGATGAACTTGGGCCTTTCTACTTCTCATGTATCGATGTAAGCATAATCAATGAGGCATGTCATTGGATGAGATTTGTCATGTGACCTGAAATTGACTTACCGATACCTATTCTATGGCCTGCTCAATCTTACGAGTTAATCCCCTCACGGCTCCAGGCCCCTCCCTCTCATCATGATCAGCACTTCAATGGTGTTTCAAATTTCTTTCTTGTTAACTCAAGCAGAGCAAACACCGCAATCGCTCCTATACTTATTGTTAACTTCATATCACTTATTGATTTAGAAATGCCGGTAAGCATTGACTACGTAATGGACTTAATACTATCAATAGCGGCTTACAAGGTGAAAGAGCTTCTGAGAAGTGGTTGATAAGAAATCGAGAATTCCAGCCTTTGTATCAAAATGGATTTCAAAGCAATTATGAATGGTGTAGTTAAGTTTGCATATATGTACATGTATGTTTACATATATCAGTCAAGTAAACATTAAAGGTAATATCCAAAAACATTTTTTTAGTAGGCAATGTGAAAATCATTTTAATTGAAAACTTTCTTTAAATCCCCTACAACCTAGTAGTAGTACAAGAAGAACAAAAAAGTTGTAGTAGTTCATGTAAATCCATGTTTCCTAAACTGCTTTTGCCAAACATACATTGGAAAAGAAAAGATTATTTTTTCCTATTTTTAATTTTTTATTTCAATTGAAACTTTCCAATATGATTATGTATAAGACACATGAATGCCTAATTTAACCACTTTCTTTTCCCCAAATTTATAATTGCCTTGATCTGGTGCTTGTACATGTACATGTATATCAAGGCACCACAAGTACACATGTACACATAATTTACCTCTTTTCATGAAATGATTACAACAATATGATTTATTCTTGATAAATAAAGGTTATACCTTCTCAGAACTTTATTGATCATAGTCATATAGAGAGTGATCAATAAGTCCTTGGAAAATAAATTAAATAATATTACTATATCTATCCATCAAGAATTAATCATATTGTCACATCCATTTGTAAATGAAAAGAGGTAAGAAAAATTTATTCCAACTTTAAAAGCAACAGTGTAAATATACCGTTTAGGTAGTAAATTAGCTTTATGTATTGCCTTGTATTAAATTTATATGTGAGAGGATACATCTCACATATTGACAAAGTTGATAGATGAAAACAAAACAATGTTTTATTGATTGCATGAAGAAGAAAAAAGCCCAGAATAAAGGTCAATTAGGTCACACTACCAGGCACCAGCCCACCTGACTCACATACTACAGTTCCTAGAATTTAAGAAAAACAAACATGGGGTTGCGCTTTGAAACTCCACATTCATGTAAAGTGACTTACCACATATCACTGATCAAATATTTGAAAGAAAAGCAATCAATGATTTCCAAGTAAGATCAATTCTTACTCCCATTCGTTGAAAAAAGCATGATATAGATTTGCTACAATACCTTAAATAAATATTTCATCGCTAATCCAACTAAACCATGAAAAAGTAGGCAGTTTTTAAGAATTAAATACACCTACATTTTTTTCCCTCACAAAATTACTATTTATTTTACTGTTACTGTCCCTTCAGTGACTTCATAAGGTCCCATCAGGGTGTTGAACACATGATGTATGCCGACGACACACAAATGTATCTGATACTGAAGCAAAGTGAAATCGCCAGTGGGGTGGTGAGACTGGAGCAGTGCATCGCAGATGTGAAATTCTGGGCTCGTGATAACAACCTCATGCTTAATGGTGCCAAGACAGAACTCATGCATGTGACGTCAGCCTTTCGAAAAGCCAGTGAGCTGCCAGATTTTGAAGTCAACTGCACTACAATCAATCCATCAAAATCTTCTATTAATCTCGGAGTCGCAGTGGATGACAAACTTACCATGAAGCAACATGTTCAGAAATCATGCAGAGCCGCTTCGTTTGGAATTTACCGGATCGGAAAACTCCGAAAGTACCTAGACCAAAGTTCTACTGGGCGCCTAATAAATGCATTTGTGACATCACACATTGATTACTGTAATAGCCTGTTGATAAATCTACCCAGCTCACATCTAACCAAACTCCAACACTGCAGCCCGTCTCACGCACAAGAAAGTACGAACACATAACACCTATTCTTCGTTCTCTTCACTGGCTCCCCATTCCACAGCGCATCCAATTCAAGGTACTGCTTCTCACCTACAAGGCCCGTAATGGACTTGCTCCAGCATATATCAATGGACTCATTTCACCAAAGGTGCAAACCTCCTCCATCAGGCTCCGCTCATCATCATCTGTTCATCTTCAACTATCATCTGGTCCTCGAACTCACACCCGCTATGGAGATCGTGCCTTCTTTGTATGTGCTCCTAAACTCTGGAATAATCTCCCCGTCTCTGTCCGTGAATCCCCAACTCTTGACACTTTTAAACGTAGACTTAAGACCTATCTATTCAACACGAAGTAATTGTCCATCATCATACCGTATTTATAACCACATGTCCTATCTTCTTGTAATTTATTTATTGTCTAATGTGCATAATTATTGCAGTTTCAATAATGATACTTAATTATTGTATTAACATTTTCATTATCATGTTATTGTTATACATTGTTAGTTAAGTAATTCGTCCAAATTAAGCGCATTGTTCATTTCACGTTTCTTGTTGATCCTTATTACAAATTTAGTTTAACCGTACTTTTCATTTCACTTGTTTTGTAAAGCGCTTAGAAACTGTACTTGTATACCAGTGCTATATAAATCTTAAATATTATTATTATTATTATTATTATGTTACCATCTTTTCTTTATTCTAGTCTCGTTTTTTCCTCCCCTTTTCTTCTAAAAAAACCCAAACTTTTTTTATGTTATTCGTTGTTTTCTTCTTTTCCTTTCAACTCTACTTTAAACAAATATTTCATGGTTTAATTCTTTTTTTCTCTTACATTATATGCCTACACATGTTATCCATTATTATCCATTTGTTATTTTATTTATTGCTTTTCTCCTTTCACTTTCTTCTCTTTTTATTATGTTATTCATTAATTTTCTATCTATACTATTACTAAGTCTATTCTTTATTTTTATCCATCTCTTGTCTTTTCTTTCACCTTCACCTTAACTTTCACCTTCTCTTCTATTAATTTGTCCTTATCTTTATCTTTCCATTATCTTCTCTTTCTAATTTCCTTACCTTATTCTTTATTTTATCAGTCTATCAATTTCCTTTCTAGCTTTCCTGATGTCATCTTTTTTTAATCCTTCTATAATTATAGGCTTCAGAACTTTATTGATCAAGTCATACATGTATACAGATTGATCAATAAGTTCTTTGAAAAATATAACTTTATCTATCCATCAAGAATAAATCATATTGTTACAACCATTTAATAAAAAGATGTAAAAAAAAATTATTCTAAGAAAAAAAGCCTAGAGTAAAGGTCACTTAGGTCACACCACCAGGCACCAAACCCAGTGACTCACATACTACAGTTCCTAGAATTTAAGAATAACAAACATCAGATTGTACTTTGAAACATCACATTCATGTATAAGTGACTTACCACAGATCCTACAGTTCCTAGAATTTAAGAACAACAAACATCGCTTGCGCTTTGAAACTCCACATTCATGTATAAGTGACTTACCACAAATCATCAATCAAAGATTTGAAAGAAAAGCAATCAATGATTTCCAAGTAAGATCAATTCCTACTCCCATTTGTTGAAATAACCATTATATTGATTTGTGGCAAATGTATAGATTAGTGTCTTGCCAAAGAATATTAGTGCCGCGGCGGGACTCGAACTGCAAACCGTGTGATCGACAGTCCGGTGACATATCCACTCGACCACGGCACCTTCCTTGTTTAATATTCTGTTTTCATCTTTTCTTTATTCTAGTCTTCTCTCTTTTTTCTCAACCTTTTCTAATGTTATTCTTTTTTTTCTTTTCCTGTCAACTCTACTTTAAAAAAATATTTCATGGTTTGATTCTTTGTTCTTTGTCTTACATTGATTTCTTTCTACATGTTATCTATTAATCTATTAGTATATATATTGCTTTTTTCCTTTCACGTTCTTCTCCTTCTATTATGTGATTCTTTAATTTTCTATCTACATTAGAAATATTCTTAGTTTTTATCCTTCTCTTACTTTTTTTTCTATTTCGATTGTTATTCCTTGTTTTTCTCATTTTCATTTTTCTTTCATCTTTATCCTTCTTTTTTTTTTCTCTTTCTATGCATAACCTTAATTTATTCTCTGTTTTATCATTATATCATTTTCTTTCTATCTTCCCTTATGTCATCTTTTTTTTTTCCTTCTGTCATTTTCTCTCTCTTTTAACGTGTTTTTCTAGTTTCTAGCCTTCTTTATGTTATTCTTTGTTTTCATCATTATATCATTTTTATGTTTTATCTTCCTCATGTTATTCTTTGCTTTTCCCTTATTCATCTCCTCCTCTATCTCACCCTTGTCTATCTCTCCCTTTGCTATTCATTGCCTTTACGCTCAGTCTGTCTTCTTCCCTACTTGTCTTTTCTTATGTCATTCTTTGTTTTTCCCCATCTACATGTACATGTGTCATCTTCTATTCTATTGTTCCTTTTATCTTTACCATTCTATCTTTCCTAACATTATTTTTAGTATTTATTATTCTATCATTTTCTCTCAGTCTTTCTTCATGTTGTTTTCATTTTGTTACTGTAGTCTCTTTCTCTCTTTCATTACTTTCCCGCTTCCTGGCAAGGTTTGCTTTCACACTGTTATTTAGAATATATTTCACCTGAATGTTCTGCTGTCATTTACATTTATCCATTATGTTTTATTCAGCATGTTTCCACAGAAAACTAGATGGACCTTTGACCACGCGCAGTCGAAAATGATGCCTCCGCCATGGAGCAATTTTACAAACCAAAACAGAAGCGAGCTATTTTTGGAAACATAATGAGCCCTATGACCTGTGACATTTAACCTCGTTACCCCCAAATTTAATCAGTTCATTGGCTCTGCAAGATAAATACATGACCTAAGTTTGGCGGGAATCCATCAATGGGTTCTTGAGATAATGCGATCACAAGCTATTTCTGCATACATAATGAGCTATGTGACCTTTGACCTTTGACCTTGGATCTCGCGACCCCAAAATCTAGTCAGTTCATTGGCTTTGCAAGGTTCATACATTTGGCAGGATTTCATCAACGGGTTCTTGAGATAACGCGATCACGAGCTATTTTTGCATACATAATGAGCCCTGTGACCTTTGACCTTGGATCTCGCGACCCCAAAATCTAAACAGGTCATTGGCTCTGCAAGATACATACATGACCAAAGTTTGCCGGGAATCCATCAATTGGTTCTTGAGATAACGCGATCACGAGAACGAGACGTACAGACGTAAGTACAGACGGACGGACAACCCGAAAACATAATGCCTCCGGCTACTTTGTAGCGGA